AACCACTGTGGGAAATGAAGATTCATGTAGTAACTGGCTCACACGAAAGCCTACCATTTGTATAGTACATTCAATTCACAAAGAAAAAGAATCGAAGGGGCAGCAGGCCCAGAGTTTCCTAGCCACTCCACTTCTCCCACGTCGCATGTATGCAGATAGATGAGGGACTTCATTTTCTTGCATGATTTCTTACTCATCATTTCTGAGACAGAATTTTTCATCAGCTGAACCAGACCTCCAGATATTCTGTATCTCAACTGGTCAAGAAGCAAAAGGAAGAAATCATAACTGCTTACAAGTTGTATTTCTGGTTATTTTTGTAAGCTAGGCTTTTAAGTCTCTGAGAGGACCCTCTTGTGAGATTCTGGCCCTGGGAATTAGCAACAGGACACTTACAACCTTTGTACTGTCTTTTCTATGTCCCCTTTCAAAAAAACCAGAATTGTGGTTTCTTAAACCATAAGTAAGTTTTCTCTGCCTGCACACTTTCTTAGTGATGAACTGAAGGAGGCAAGGAAATATTTCACTATTTTCTGACTTGGTTCAATGTACCCTACCACATTCCAAAGTTCACAAAAGTATGAGTCTGTGGATCTTAGAACCCACAGAGAGCTCAATATCCCACTACCATGCAGGAGGTAACGAACTTCTAGATAGAAAAACAATGCTATCCAGGAAACATGTTCTGACCAGCAGAGAATGTGCAGATTTACTGAGTCCCAGCTGAGCTCCAGCACTGCATCACACTGAGCCACTGCCCTTGCTGAAAGAGTTCAGTCACCACCAGCTCCTAGGTGAACAGAAATAGATCTTTCTACACACTTGAAAAGTAATCCTCTGGCCTTTGAAAAAAAGTTGTACACTATGAGTCATTCTCAATAATACATGGCTAGAAGAAAATAAATGGCTTTTTTCCTTATTTACTCTAAAGACTAGTTTAAGAAGTGAGGATACTATGATCTTAACTAAGAGGGGCTGGAAAGGGACAATGGGATAGCATTTCCTAGTATAGTCCACTAATTCTCAGATTAGGAACATGCTAAACTGGCTAACTCTACAACCACAACATACTTTATAATACACGGTGTGACTAGAGACTGACAGCATAGCTCTGAGTTTAGAATTAAAGTACAACTGCGTAAGGTGAATCTTAAAGCATGTTTTAAAACAGATTTAACCAAAGCATACAGCACAAATACTTCTATATAACAGCCACATCACAACCACCAATACGGACTTCTTTGCTTCTAATTGGTCTGCCATATGCTAATATTTGTAAAGAGCTATTAAATGACTTGAATAAAAAACAAAGACATTTGCTTTCGGGAGACACAGCTAAAAGCCATGGATGCCTTCGAGCAGTTGGTAAAAATCATGCCAATCTGCCAGGCTGCTGCTTGCTTCTAAATATAAGCCTCACGGCTCTATGAAAGATTTTCTAAGGATGCTAACCTAGAATTTAAGTTCTCCAACACCTATAAAGTAACTCTGGTCTCCTTCCAAAGTATGCACCTTTTAGCAGGCCCAAGACAATGGAAACGAACAATAGGATTCCAAGGATTCAGGAATAGTGGTCGAAGACTCTTAAGAGAATGTGATGTTGAAGAATTCACATCTGTAGTACTGTAGCCTGGACAGAACAAGGCCAGAGCCAAGCTCTGCAGACTGGTGGGCTTGGGATGGTGTAGGGCAGGGTTTCTCAACCTCGGCAGCAGTGGTGCTTGGGGCTGGAGCACTGTTTGTTTGGGGGGCTGTCCTGTGCATGGCAGGGTGTTTAGCAGCATCCCTGGCCTCTACCCACTTGATGCCAGTAGCACACCATCACCCTCAGCTGTGACAACCAAATGTCCCCAGACATCGCCAAATGTGCCCATGGGGCAAATCTGCCCCTAGTTGAGAACCACAGCTGTAGAGTCAGCTCACTTGAGCCCCTCAGCATGGAGCACTCCCTTTTGGTCTTGGGCTCTAGAGAGAGGCTAAATTTTAGAGCAAGACCAAACAAGGTTCAGTGAAAGTGTATTTAGAACTTTAGAGAGGAAAAACAAGGACAGCAGAGAAATAAAGGTAGAAAAACAGTGAAGCAGAGTTTCTTTTCCAAAGGAGATCAGTGATACTTTCATAAAAGTAACATAAGCTTTCATTTACCCTTTTTCTTCTTTAGGAAGTTAGGGCCGATAATAGGACATGGATGTCATGAATTCCCCTTCCTAAAGAAAAGGCAAATTTTTCTGACTTTAAATCAAGTCCTTTCTATCATAGATGGCAATCTTTGTGATGTCAATAATTCTTCATCAAGAGGGGAAAACAACAGTTAAAAGCTAAGAGCGGGCCCATTAGGTCTGAGAGAAAACTTTATCATCCCCCCTTCGTGAGCAGGAAGAGAATTGCATGCTAGAAATGCAGATTATAGTTCACTTACAGCTTATTGGATGAAAAGTCAGAACAGACAAAAGCTGAGAAGAAGATTAAAGAGCTACCTCGAAAACACTGGTTGAAAACATATGTAGATATCTGTAGGTATTTTCTGGCTCAAATCTGAGAATGTACAAAAAGTACGTATTGACTCTTCAGCAATTAGGTTTACTTTGCTCTAGGTAGAAGGCAAATATTCTAGCCCTTCTTTGAAGAACCATCATGAATAGAAATGTTCTGCAAACATCTGAGATCCCAGTGTTAACAAGGATGACAACATGGGAAACCAGCCCCTAGGTGACAACGAGCCTCGAATGCCACAGCATGGCAACGGGACCGTGCAGTTCCTAAGCGCATAGCACAGTGAGAAGTCTTTCCAGAGAAAAAAAGTGTAGTTTCTGGTTTGCAAGGGGGGAATACAAGGTAGAGATCTAGTATGAAAAAGAAGAGTTAAATACACACCCTTTTAGAGTCATTAGTGTCCAGGCAAACTGCTGATGGTCCACCTCACTTGTATCATCAAGCAGCTGCCTGGGAAAAGCCAGAATTCAGAGCTATCCAAACAGTACTGAACTGGTGAAAGAAGTAAGACAGAAAAAGAACTAAAGAGCATGCAAAACTATTGATTTGAGTCAAATTGTTTCAATAATAGTACCCAGTCGAGTTTCATTTTAGTGCCTATTACATTTATTAAAATTAAATAAAAAGCACCTTAAAATAACCTATCTATATAATCAATACACATTATAGTATTTATATAAAAATGCAATATGTGCACAATTTAAGCTTCAGGGAAACTAGGACTTTAGTCTTTATAATCTTCATAATCATCAGAGCTATGATCCTCAAAATCTTGGGGGAGGGTTAACAGTAACAGCACATTTCGATTATAGCTGACTTGATTCAGGGGCTGACACTCAGAATTTGAGGACAAGTAATAAATACTGAGAAGTTATCTCTTTGAGGGGTGGGAGGGACCTTTAAAAGTATTATTGCTAAGAGACTACTTCCAAAAATCCACTACTACTGATAGATGACAGTGCTGAGGTGACTTCCCTCAAGGATGACCCAGAGGCATGGGAGGATAACACTTGATGGCCAAAGGGTTTGATGATACTTGGGAGTAACTTGGGAGCTGAAAGAGATCAGATGAGGGGAAAATAGGTCCTGTTCTGATAGGGGTTGTATGTGTAACAGGTGTGCATGAAAATCTTGTCATAAGTGGACAGCCCCAGGAAGAAAAAAATGGATAGAGTAATTTTTTCTCTATCTGGAATTGCTCCAAGAGCCTTTTAAATATGGTATTGGAGAAAGCAAGAGCAAAAAAGGCATTCAGAAATAGAAATGCCACACATATATCTCACACCCCATCAGCCAAGAGTCTCCGGGACAGTGGACAATATTGAGGAGCATAGAGCTGGTTTGCAAGATCTGCAGACAGGTACCTCTTATGATCTCACAACAAGGAATGTTCACTGGCAAATCTTTGGTCTACGCTCTACACTAATGCTAAGTGGAAGAGCACATTCTCTCTACAAAGACCCACGAGTAATGCCTCAATCTATTCTCCCCTGTGTGCAAGTAACGTCCCTGGACACAAACAGGAGCCAAGTGTGTGAGGACGGAAACCAGGCCTGCTGAATTCTCACTGGCCTATCTGACTTTCTTCCCCTGCAGGTTTGGAAAGAGATGCTGCATCTCGTCTGCTACCAAGGATGTCTAGAGGCTACTGCTGGGGCCTAAAAGTTGAGCAAGGTTCATACTGTTACAGTCACGTGTAGCCACAATTCAACTCCCTTTATTAGAAGTATAATACTCACTTCATATCACAAATGTATAAAAATATGGCAGATAGTGTCATAACGATACTTTCTTTAAATGAATATATTTATAAAACAGATATTTACCATATATATATTTATATATAGAATAAAATACTCCTGATGCAATATATAAATGTTACTGTTTAGTTTTTATAGAAACTACTGTAGCTGTCCCACTGCTTCACAATGTTTCAAACAGCTCAAAATAACTTTACATTATAACATAAAAGATATGATTATAACAGTACAATATTAATTATAAATAAATGTTACAAATCCTATCAAATATGGAAGTTTAGAAAACAATTTAAGACATACAGTTCATCTGCTAACCCTTCAAAGGGATACTCTTGGATTACAATAAACCCCACATTTAGTCTAGGCAGAAAAAAATACGTAGTAAGGGCATCGGTCAACATGATTTTCCTATCCCTTGCAGTGCCAGGACACATCCTGGCGTTCCCAAGTTCAACAGAGATTGCACTAAAGCTGGAATGTAAGGGGGAGAAACTGCCAAAAATTTCTTCTTCCTCAATGGCACACTCTATCTATTCTCACACAAGACCTGTGGGGAGTGGCGATTCCTAAGGAACTCCTGTGGCTCTAAGATCCCTGACTAGCATTTGTGGCCGCGAGGAGCTCGACGGCCCCAACACATGCAATATTGCACACACCTTCATAAAGCTGAAAATACTGGCTCACCACTTGGCCCGGCCCATGCCCCAAGCCCAGCCCACCCTTCCCCACCCCTCCCCCACTGGCTTGTCTGCCCACCCCTTCCCCCTACCAGCACAAATTACAAGGCTGTCTCTTTTAAATCATTCAGATTTGGCATTCGTGAGCGATTTGTTCTGTTATAGGGGTGCCCATTTGGCCCACTCTTGGCACCCAGCTGTTCAGAGTAGGAAGGGCCCTCTGTGGCACTCCTGGTCACAGAGGACACGTGCCAACCAGGATCCATCTGACCTGGCAGCTGGAGGGCTGGCCTGCCCTTCGGTGCGGGCTCCTGCCGGATGTTGCTGCTCCCGCCAGAGGCCTGGCTCAGGGGGTGAATCCGAATTTCTGAGAAGGAATTTTTGGTTTGTTGAGCTGTTAAGGGCTGGAAGCGGGGGTCTGAAGAAGCCGGGTGATTCGAGGCCGAAGAGAGATGTAACAACTTGCGCAGTGATTTTAATGGCTGGCTCTGAAAGAAAGGATGAGAATGCACATGGGATTCAAGTTAGAGTGACCATAAGTCTGGGGAGGGAAGGGGGCTTAGACCTGAGGTGACTGGGCGTGGCCAGGAAGGGCAAGCATGTGCAAGGAGGAGCTGGTCCAGCCAGATCTGTTCTTTGGGTTTTCTTCAAACAAGATTGTATTATTCTTTAATGGAAAAGCCTAGAAATCATAGAGCTGGTATGGCAGCCAATCAAAGGCCCAGGCTCATCTACCTGGTTGCATCCTATCTCTAACCAGGGGATCTCATGCTTCAACCAGCAGGAAGGAGAAAGAGCAAAAGGTGTATGTTTCTCTGTTTTGAGAAGATTTCCCAAAGGCTCCACACAATGCTTCCACTTATATTTCACCAGCTAGAACTTAAGTACACAGCCGTATCTAGTAGCAAGAGAAGCTGAAAATATGGAATGTTTTAGTTAGCAATGTACTCAACTACAAGTCGTATAGCCCTTTTTGTTCTCATCTCCCCGATTTCCCTCTCTCGATATTACAAAATTCAAATGTTCCCTCGCTTTACTTTTTTTTTTTGAGAGAGGGAGGGTAACATTTGGGCATTGAAAATGCAAAGCACAAAGAAATATGCAAAACCCCAACAGAACTATCTAAATAATTTATTCACAGGAGGCCTTCAATTCCTAACATGGGCTCACAGTGGTCCGCCCTGCCTGTCTGTCTACTGTGCAGCTGGACACCCCCAGGTGCCGCATCAAGGAGGGAGATTGACTTCAGGGCAGAGGGGAGCAGCCTCAGAGCAGTCTCCTCACTGGACAACTCCTGAGCCTCATGCTCCTGAACGATGAAAGATGATGGCTCAATCTCCTCTTCCTTGATCTCAGAAGAGACATGGAAAGCACTTGGAAATTCACAGCCAGTCACAACTGCTGGACTTGGCCACTTAGGCTACAACCCTAGCCTTGGGGCCCCTCTGAGGCCCATTCTCAGAGTACCTTTGCTGTAAGTGTCATGGTATAAGGGACATGCATTTAAGGGCTCAGCAAAGTTTGAATAAAATGTTGATGAACTCAAGGAACATTACAACATTTGAAGGAACTAGGCACAGAAACCCAAGGTAAATGGCTTCAGAATTGACTCAAGTAGATATTGTTTCAGGGGAAAGTATTCTCCATCATCATTCCAAAGTCTTCCCAAGAAAGCTTTGTGCTCCCTACAGGAGGTAGCATAGTACACTGTACACTCTAAGTGCTCAAAAGTGGCTTTTTAAAAATAATTAAATTGGTATAACATGATGAGACTCCTGGTGATTTTTACAGCCTTGACCACATGTAACTATCAAGCAATTACAATAATCTGCATTCAGCAAGAGCTATAAAGTTATTTGAAAAGAGCTTCTAGCCTAGGCAACAAAGCGAGACCCCATCTCTATAAAAAAATTAAAAAACTAGCCATGTATGGTGGCATGTGCCTGTAGTTCCAGTTACTCTGGAGGCTGAGGTGGGAGAATGGCTTGAGTCCAGGAGGTCAAGGCTGCAGTGAGCCATAATCTTGCCACTGCACTCCAGCCTGAGTGATCGAGTAAGACCTTGCCAGAAAGAAAGAGAGAAGAGAGAAGAGAGAAGAGCTTCTTGGCAAAAGAAATGGTTTCACAAAGAAAGTTCTAAAGCTCTCTATTCTTTTTGTTTTGTTTTGAAATTGGGAATAGAGAAGCAGGCCCTCACTCACAGGCTTGTCTCTTTAGTTTGGATACATATCCAATAAACTTGGATATCTGGTTCTCTATGCTTCCACCACCCCCAGCTTATATTATGTTAGAAGCAGAAAATATAAATAGCTGGGGCAAATACAATGGGAATATGGGGAACTTCTGTCAGCAGTTCTATGCAACAGCTTACAGTTAAAAAGAGTAAACAGAGGCTGGTCATGGTGGCTCATCCCTGTAATCCCAGCACTTTGGGAGGCAGAGGCAGGTGGATCACTTGAGTCCGGGAGTTCGAGACCTACCTGGGCAACATGGCAAAACCCTGTCTCTACTAAAAATACAAAAAATTAGCCAGGTGTGGTGGCGCACACCTGTAGTTCCAGCTACTTGGGAGGCTGAGGTGGGAGGATTGCCTGAGCACAGGGAGGTCAAGGATGCAGTGAACCGAGTTTGTGCCATTGCACTCCAGCCTGGGCAATGGGAGTGAGGCCCTGTCTCAGGAAAAAAAAAAAAAAAAAGTAGTCTGCTCTCCCAATCACAGAAATCTGTGACACAAGAAATCACAGATACAAGTAATCCTATGGCCTCAAAAGCTCTGGAGGGTTGTCAAAAATTATAGTACAGAAGAATAAAGGATTCATAAAACATTCAATATCAAAAACCAAAATGTTCATTATGGGATACTGAAAAGATACATTACAAAATTTCCAACCAAAATAGTTGTTTAAAGGAAATAAACCTCAGATACCTGAAAAATTTACTGATTCAGTTTCTGCTTATTCCTCCATTATGGAAGATAAATGTGACTACGTAATACAGTCTAATATGTAGTTCCTAATGCAACTGTTTGCCTGTTTCCTGTAAAAAATGGTATGGATTTCAGGAATTGAAATATTCTTTCAAGAAAACTTATCATACCTGTCTTTCAATTTGTATGCTATTACTTTTAATGAAACCTTAATCTTCCTACCATCTCTGTTCATCCTGCCTGAAATGTTATGGCATGCCTCATTTTTTACCATGAATTATGGTTCTTTAAAACAGCTCAGCTCTTTCCTGGGCTGTATTTGTGGGCTGGGACTACATCTTCAATTGCCTCCAGCTAGGTGAAGGCTAACGGAAGCTTGCATCTTTCCCAGTAGAACATGGGTCACTGAAGCAAGATTCATCCTGGCTCACAAGATGCATCTGGGTATAACTGAGGGTCTATTTTGAGGAGGTGCTCAGCCTTACTGTAACACTGAGAAGCTAAGTTTTCTCTACCACGCCCTCCCCGCTCCTCAGGACAGTTACTGCAGAGTTGGAGAGTCTAGGAATGGTGCAGGATCCACTCACTTGGGTCTGTAGATCTGAGATCTTCTCCGGGCGCCACTCCTTTGGTCTGCTGCTTGGAGTGCTAGCAGAATGAATGGATTTCTGCAACGTTAGAAGATCAGGGCTGTCGGAATTGGGTACCTAGAGCAAAATATGGACAAGCATTCAATAAGCACACTAATAAGCCTAATTAAGATATGCAACCACACCCAATAGGAGAACCAAACTAAAAAGCAAACCAAACCAAAACTCAAATGATCCAGTAAAAAAAGAACCCCAATCTCTCCCAATGTTCACAATGCAAGTGATGCTAAATTCTTCTGCCCTCTTAATAATTTTCCCTGCATTAGGAAAAATTGGCAGATGTCATGCAGCTTTGTTAAACCTCAACCCTTAAAGCATTCCCATGCTGTTAGTTTTAGTCGCTGTAAGAGAGAGCAGTTAAATTGGGCTATACCAGGAATTGCTGTCGTATCCTCATTCCATAGTGCAGTTAGGTTATGAACCAGTTCAATAAAACAAATTTTTTCCTGCTGGGAAAATGATCCAAACATTGTATTTGGTAGTGCAAAGAAGTCTGGTAGGCTTTCAAGGATAGCAAAGTGAGAAAGTATGGTTTAGGTCATATTCCCAAATCATTGTCTGATATATCTGGATCTATCATTATGTACTAGAGAAATGCTGGAAATCTGTGCCACAAATTCCAGATGAATGCAACTGGTCTATTCACCAGCTTTGGTGTACACAGAAGAGTAATGTCAAATGCCAAGCAAAAGCCCTGGTTTTAAAACGACCAGCAAAAGCTCAAGCCAGACAAGGATACAAGCTGTTTTTTCATGGAGCCTGTTAGCTCATTCAATTTGGTCAATTCAACTTGGCTTCAAAAAGACAAATTGCCAATCAAGTGTTAACAAACTCTGTGAGTCAAATGCAAAGACATCTGTTAACTGTAAATGTTAATAGAATTCCTTACATAAAATACAGGCTTTTATAAATGTTATCTGCCCATAATTGGCTAAACAGACAAGACAAACTAGCCTTTCACTAGTTTGTCTGCTTAATAGACTTTGTGCTTCAACTTTCTTAACTGATTCAGAAGAATGGCAATGAATTTATATCCCAGTGAATTTATGGAACTGGCTCACGTACTTAACTAGCATAAAGAGAATATGACCTCATGAAAATAAGACATGCTGTTGTCATCAGTAAAACAAGTTTACTGGAGCAGTTTTCAGGGCTACCATACATAAAAACGGGTACCATGGGTGGAGTGACTACAGGAAGCTTTTTCAAAGAAGAACTATGCTTTAAATGATTCTTTGAATTAAAAAGAGGAAAGAGGGATTTCTTGATGCTTGGATTCTCCCCGTTGGTGGAATCTGTCTGCAATATAAGATACAAATAAACTAATTGCAAAAAAAAAAAAAAAAAAAGTGCTTATTGAAACTACTAGCCCTTGGAAGCCCTCAAATTGCTAAATATTAACAGTCACTGAAAGAATCTCGGTGCTGTGCATCTATAGAGGTTCTGTGCCAATTCTCACCTGGACGTGAAGATGTCAATAATGCAAATTCAAGACAAGCACAAACTTCTTCCAAGTATATAATGTGAGATCATGATCAATACCTCTAGTAGGAATGCCGAGAGACCTAGACACACCTACTCACATTAAGCTTATTACACATTAAATAATTTTTACTATCAGAAATATTGTTACAAAGAATTGTGTTAAAGAGCTACTGATAAACTTCAATCTTCTCCTAATTGCTAGAGAGGACTTCAGCAAGTAAAAAAATCTACCATGTAATTTGCCTATTAGAAGAAAAAAATCCCAACATACTGGAAACCCTTTCAAATTTGGTCAACTTTTAAGCCTGAAAATATCACTAGGAAGAGGTATTGATCACTGTGGTGGGATACTAATGTTGAATAAGAGGCCTTATTCTGTACTGCTAGAAATATTTACCCAATGGAAAACATTTAGCACAATTCAGAATACTGGTTTTCAAAGGGAAGAAACAGAAATTTCAATATTTAATTGGAAGCATCATCACAAGTTGAGATACTAACTAACTAGGATACAATTACCAAGTTGGCAAAGTCACCATATGCTCTGAGGACTTATGTAACTCTGGATATGTAACTGAAGCCAGATTTCCCAAGGGAGCTTCCAGATTTGCTTGAGTCGAAGCAGGCACCTTTACAATACAGATTTTTTTTTTTTGGGCAACACTTTTCCCTGATTTGGATATCTCAATTATCAGAGAACTAGAATGTACATGAAGGTATTCAGGTATTTAGGTAATCTTTTAAGGGTATCTGTAAAAAGAGATTTGAGTAAAACATCCCATAAATTTTCTTGTTCCAATGACAGGAACCCTGAGGAAGAATTTAACTTGCATCGCTAAAGAGGCCAGAGGAGAGCTCCTAGAGGCTCTCCACAGAGGCAGGTCCACGGTATAAACTGAGCCTGGACTTGGTATTTAGGAGAACCCAGTTCTGGTTCTCCCAATTGATTACGTGATTTTTGGGCTTCGAAGCAAGCCCATGACTTGCTTGGGCTCAGTTCCTATACTAGTGAATAAAAAAATTCAACTAGATTTAGGATCCACCTCAGCTTTAACATGTCATGAGTCTCTATGTACACTGGGCATCAGATTTTTATTCTTTTGGAATCTTATGCAAAGGCCACAATGCCTTAAATCTTTTGAAGCTTATTCTATGTAGTTTCTTTTTGCTGAGTTCTAGAAAGTGAAAAACAATTAACTGTTTAAATGCTCATTCAAAGTAGTCAGAGTTAACCCAATGTCAGGCTTAGGACTCTGAGGTTTGGAAGGCTGTACTGAGTGCTCTTTGGAAATCCCAAAGCCCTTAAATTTTATTTTTCATTTAATGAAAAGATGCAGAGGTACAAACAACTTTTGGGTTAGTAAAGATTAAGGCATTATGGCCTATGCAGAGATATTTTGCAGTTACTTTACATATCAAAAAGGAAACTTATGAAAGCCTAAGAAAAAGTTTAAGTGGAAAGGATATTAGAGAATGGTTATTTTCCTTTTTACTCTAATCTATACTACTAAAATATCTAAAATTTAACTAAATTCTGAATAATAAAGTCAGTCAACATGTATACTCCACTTGTGCCACAGTGAGCCAGGGACTTTAGGTTTAATGTTGCTCTACAGCAAACATCAAAATCTAAATCTATATACAAAAACACCTTCAATTCCTTAATCTTTCCTACTTCCTACCACTTAATCATCCCACAATGCCAGGAGACCTGTGGTTTAGAACAAAAACCACAAAATAAAAATAACAGTGGTCAGGAGGTAGCCAAACTTTAATGTTCATGATAGAGAAACATGTTCTACAGACAATGATAAAAGTTTTATTAACACTTTAAACATTTTAAGTATTCCTAGGTTAAATCAGGTCTATTTGTTCACCCAGTCTAAGTAACAAATGTAGTAGTATCTGACTGAGTGGCATTTTGATTTGACATTTTAAAAGTAAGCTTCAGTTTAAAATATGGGCAGTTTTTTTAATGAATACTTCAGAAATATTATGCAGCCATTAGGATTCAAGATAATAAAGTATTTGTAGTAACATACATATTCTGTGCATGTAGATATAGATAGATAAACTGCTAAAAGCCAGAATACAAAATTGTACTAAAAGGATTGCTCTAATTTAAAACTTAAAACAAAACAAAACAAAACAAAACAAAAAAAACCCCACACCTAGTTTCCACAAGCATATGTATAGGTTAAATAGCTAGAGGGAAATATATCAAAATCCTAATACTAGTTGTGGTAGGGTATTAAGATTTAAAACGATCTTTTTCTTTTTCTCAAATTTTCTACAATGAACTCACATTTATTTTATAAGGAAATACATTAATTTAACAAGCAAGCAAGTGAAAGAATGTTCTAGAAAGATAATCTAGGAAGGTATTTGCTAACATTTCTAGAACATCTGTGAGATAAAAATGCTTACTTCAGGTTATTTACACACATTGCTATGAACATCTATCTAATCTAACTTCCCATTGAGTCATAATTCTATAATTTTCATAATAGAAAGGGCCTCAGAAACACTGGGTCTAATCTACTAAACTTACAGATGAAATCAATGAAATCCATCCGAATAGGCCGTTTTGATTATGTCTTTTCCCTCTTCAAATAAAAGAGAATAAATTATGTATGAAGTAAAACTAGAACCAAAACCATTCAAAATGGCTAACTAGGCCAGGCACAGTGGCTCACACCTAGCACTTTGGGAGGCCTAAGTGGGCTGATTGCTTGAGCTCAGGAGTTCAAGACCAGCCTGGGCAACATAGTGAAACCCTGTCTCTATAAGAAATACAAAAAATTAGCTGGGCGTGATGGCGTGCACTCAGTTATTTGGGAGGCTGAGGTGGGAGATCACTTGAGCCCAGGAGGTAGAGGTTGCAGGGAGCCGAGATCACGCCACTGCACTCCAGCCTGGGCAACAGAGTGAGACCCTGTCTCTATAAATAAATAAATAAATAAATAAATAAATAAAAACAGCTAACTCTACCTTATTTAGCCTTGAAGTTGTCATAAAGAAAAAGGGGATGCAGCCTCATCTAGGGGAAGAACTACTCCTGCTGCTGTCCTAAAGGCCGGGTTTCCCCAAGGTTCTCACATCACTAAACCAGCAGGATCCCTGCTTGGGTGGTTCAGTGAAGTGATGTGAACAGTCCCATGGAGCCAGCTCTTTGTTCAGCCAGAGGGCTCCCAGGAGATAAGGTGCATTCCAGCCCACAGCGCAATCAAAAGGCAAACATATTTTCCTTCTAACGCAAGCCCTAAAATCCCAGATACGATCTTTGTGACTATACAACTCTGAAACACACCTGTCCATGTAGGAATTCTATAACCAGCCAGGAGAGAATAAGGAATGATGGCTATTTACAAATTTCAAGATTTAAAAGTAAACCAAAACCCATTTCCTAAGCTTTTGCATATCTTTAAACCCCCAGAGAGAAACAAATCCTGTGTCTTCAAAGTTTTTACGTGAATATAAACCCACATAAATAAGAAGTATACTGAGAAAGGCTTAAAGTGTTCTCTCTCATCCAAATTAAATTTCTTCTATTCCTGGAGATTCTGTTGAATGTCGAAAAGGTTCTGTTGAGAGGATAGTTGTATAGAATTTCAGAAAGAGACATAGTACAGTGCATAAATGTCAAGTCTCAATAAGAAAACAATCAACTTTGATTGCCAAGTGCAAAGTGTAAAGTATCCATTGAATAATGCAGAAACATGTTATTATATATATAAATTGGCCATCTACTTACTGTTTGAGATTTCTTCTTTTTCTTTTTCATTGACCTGAAAAATCCTTGCTTCTCTTTTTCCTTGAGTTGCTCTGAATGACTAATATTTTCAGGACTTTTCCTAAATGAGAAGACATTTTTATCATATTGATTTTTCAATCATTTTCTTGCCATTGTGTGACAAATACAAGAAAGACTGAAAATGCATGACACTAGGTTCAAATAGCCAGGAAGAATCAAACACTTGGATAAAGAGCCTCTAAAAAAGCACAGGAGGAACTGAATTTAATCAACCATGGTTAGTGATTATCCTCTGGCACAGGCTCACTCAAAACAGCAATTTGAGCATTATATGACCTATAACTGTTGCTGCAAGACCATTTTCATGCTGTTGAAGACCTCAGAGTTTGAGATTATTAAAAGTACACAGCTTAAAGGATGGCTTTTCTATAACTCTACAAGGGAAAGAGCAAAACATTTTCAACACCTACCTTCATTTTTCTATTTACCTTTTAAAAACCAGCTCGACACGTTTATTATTAGAGACTTGTCAAGATACTGAACATAAAGATCAATACTGCTATAAAAGCATCTTGAATAAAAGTAAAAATTTGCCAGAAACTGGAAATATCCTACTTATTAAACCTTTCATCTACTTATTAAAACTAAATAAAAATAGTTAAGAAAAAAACGCAGGGATAGGTGCAGTGGCTCACACCTGTAATCCTAGCACTTTGGGAGGCTGGAGCAGGATTGCTTGAGGTCAGGAGTTTTAGACCAGTCTGGGCAACATAGCAAGACCACGTTTCTTTAAAAAAAAAAAAAAAAAAGGCTCTCATGGGGGGCAAAAAAACTTCTAACTGAAAATACTGACATTAAGCTTGATACCACTGACACCACCAGTATTTTGATAAAATTGGAAGATGTTAAAAGAATAAAATAACTAATATTAAAATTCAGAATGATACATTTATAATTTTGAAAGCCAGAAAACTTCAGACATGATGAAAAGGGTAACTGCTGAAAAGTTAAGAGTTTTTATTTTTATTTATTTATTTTTGAGACAGTGTCTTGCTCTGTTGCCCAGGCTGGAGTGCAATGGTGCGATTTTGGCTCACTGCAACCTCCACCTACTGGGTTCAAGCGATTCTCCTGCCTCAGCCTCCCAAGTAGCTGGAATTATAGGCATGCACCACCAGGCCTGGCTAATTTTTTTATTTTCAGTAGAGACAGGGTTTCACCGTGTTACCCAGGCTGGTCTTGAACCCCTGACCTCAAGTGATCTGTCCACCTCAGCCTCCCAAAGTGCTGGAATTACAGGTGTGAGCCACCGCGACCAGTCAAAAGAGTCTTTAAATGCAGTGTTGTACTGTTGGGAAAAACATCTAATCCCAATGACAGACTGGGCCTAGGCCCTGGGAATTTGGTAAAAGTTTCTTGCGACAAGTTCTTTTGCAATTAAGGAGACGAAACCCTCTTGCATGGGGCTTAAAGATAGACTGCCCTAAGCTGAACTCCAAGACACAGCATTCAGTCACTTGCCATTGGTAAGGAACACTGGAGAAGAGTGGCGTTTGCTGGAATCACAAAAGCATGACTCTGGGAAAAGAGCCTCAGAGAGCATCTAGTAGAACTGGCAATACTATTTTTAACATTCTGTAACTTCTAGAGGTTAAAGAATTATATGTTTATGAAATAGCTATGTACTTCCACAATACTATCTGCAAAAACACAACCTAGAAGCACAACAGGATATTCAGATTAATGGGTAGAAGTTTTTACCAATCAGAATGAAAGTCTAACAAAATACCACAGGTGTGTTGAGGGTAAAAGTGCTTTCTGCCAATCTAGTAAATTTTTAAGGAAGACATATTCATCATGACTGCGATCTCAGAATGTGAATGCGTGTTACTGTAAGAATATTAATGCTGGCATAAGAGGAAATGAAGGCTTGAGACACCAGTCCTAGGAGGAAGTCCTAGGAGGATTTTGCCTGGTAAGAGGAGAATCTATCCAGGATGAAACAGCGAATAAGATGAAAGTGAGAAGGGAAGGGTAATAAAAGGAAAGCTCGATGTCTGCAGTTTGCATGATACATTGTTGGGTCCCCAGGACACAGGGAAGATGGGCCAAAGACCCTCTGCAGGGGCTCTTCAAGAGGCACTGGATAAACCACAGCTCAGGTGGGGATAGAGGAATGATTGGGACATTTTCAAAGATCCAAGCAGAGAAAGATCCCAGAGGTCAAAATAAAAAAAAAGAAATAAATTACCCTTGAACTGGTGGATGACAACTAGGAGTGAAGTGTGTGTTTGCATCACCAAAGACAGACAGAAGGAAGTCAGAGAGGAAAAACAAAACAAGGGAGAAGCTATGCAGAAACATACATACCCAAAGAATTAACACAGAAAGGGAAGGGAGAAAAGGCTGACAGAGTGACTCAGAGACAGATGGAAAGAGGCTGGCTGGAACAAAGGCACTTGAAAAGCTGTGCTGTATAAAGGAATGGAGAATGAGTTATACACTGACAGCTGGAACTGAGCCCTATGGGTAAGCGTGTGGTTGGTCATTTCCCTCATTTGTGCATTCTGGCCCCTGTGATTCCACATGGAAGACAGCAGCTTAGTGCTGAGTGGGGTAAAAAGGAGCAGCACAGAAGAAGGGTAAGTGGGGGGTTCACATCAATCTCAGAGACAGAAGCTTTGAGAAGCACTACTCATCCAGTCACCTCGCACCTTCTCCAAAGCAGCAGTTGGGACCAAAACAGTATGGGAGGAGGGCAATGAGACAAGGGGTAAGCAGGCACACAGGCATGGGACTCTAACGTTAACATGACAGCTCTAACATGACAGCTATTTCCATAAGGGTCCAAGAGGAGACACAATTCCAAAGACTCACCTAAAGAAAGGAAGGAATTAAAATCCAATGAATCACTCAACCAATATTCAGCGAGTACTTTATACATGTCAGGCCCTGTGTTAGGTGTTGAAGAAACAGAGAAAAATAAAAGAACGAATCTGATTTCACTCAAGCTGCTCACAGACTCTTGTTGGGGGTAGGGGACAGGTTTGACAGCTAGGGAATGGGGCAGGGGGGCATCACGGTCAGGCTTATGGGACTTCAGTATAATCCCTCTGAGAGCAGCATGGAAAGTGAGATGAAGCGGCGAGGAACATTACTCTGACACTTTCCCTGCCATCTCCCCTCCCCTGGCAATGTGACGAGCGTGGTTAGCTAATGTGTGAGAAGAGAGAGTCAGTGAATAATTCTACAGGAGTAACTCTGCAAGCTACGATGACAAGCACTAATGGATACCAATATATTCATAACCTTAAGAGAAAAAGGCAGCTGGGGTTGTGCAAGTTACAGCAATTCTTCATTTAACTAGTGAGATTTCTTCTTTTTTTTTTTTTTTTTTCAGACAGAGTTTCACTCTTGTTGCCCAGGCTGGAGTGCAATGGCGTAAGTGATTCTCCTGCCTCAGGCTCCCGAGTAGCTGGGATTACAGGCATGTGCCACCACGCCTAGCTAATTTTGTATTTTTAATAGAGACAGGGTTTCTCCATGTTGGTCAAGCTGGTCTCGAACTCCCGACCTCAGGTGATCCGCCCGCCTTGGCCTCCCAAAGTGCTGGGATTACAGGAGTGAGCCACCGTGCCTGACCAACTAGTGGGATTTCTAAGGAATTTGGTTTACTCTTTAAACATCAATTTTTAACCCAATTGACAGCAGTCTTTCTAAACATATTTATACAGTTTGTCTTTTAAAGCAAAGTGAAGCTGCCTGTTTTATAAACACACACTTCATAGAGATCTATGATATGCATGATTTTCCCACCTGCTTCTCTCCATAACTATTGCCTGGATCCTTTTCCCTCTGCACCCGGTAGTACCACCTCGAACTATTTCTTGCCCTGACAATCTCAGTGCCGCCTGTCAGAACTGAGCATAAATGAAGAACAGAGTCCAAATGAGGGTGGGGGTGTTATCCTATTAGTAAAGATGATTAATCCCACCATATTAACTCTATTTTGCTTGTTCTGAGATATTTTGGCTATCTCCTGATTCTTAAGTAGGTTCTACATAACTGAGATGGCCAGAATAACAGCTCTGGATATCATACTGCAATATCTATTTACTGCTTTAAAATATAACATAGTAGCTTGACTTTTCCATTGCAAGAAAGGGGTACACTGTACAAATATTCTCTTCCCGAAGTAAATCTGAAGTACTACTATCAAGGAAAAACAGACTGACCTTAGGTAAGAGATAATTTAGGAATAGCAATTCACGGCCAGGCACAGTGGCTCATGCTGGCAATTCTAGGACTTTGGGAGGCTGAGGCAGGCAGATCCCTTGAGTTCAGGAGTTAAGAGTCCAGCCTGGGCAGCATAGTGAGACCCCGTGTTTACAAAAGATACAAAAATTAGCCAGGCATGGTGGCGTGCACCCACAGTCTGGGCTACTCAGGAGGCTGAGGTAGGAGGATGGTTTGAGCCCAGGAAGCGGAGGTTGCAGTGAGCCAAGATTATGCCACCGCAATTCGGCCTGGGCAACAGAGCCAGACCCTGTCTCCACCCCCTCACAACAAAGAAAAGCAATTCACTATATTACCATAACAAGGCTCTTTGATGTTTTTTGTAAGTCACTAAATGTGCATTTCTCTCAAATATGAAGAATCTGATGAACCAATTTGAGAGCTTATTCAAGAAAAAAAATCAAGATGAGTCAAGTTGAACTAATGACAGACTAAGTGAGATGCGATGCAGGAAGGAAATATGTCATAGCAGCATTATCAGGAAGAGTAACAGAAACAAATGGACAGAGCCAGTTCATCACTGGCAATTCTGGAACTCTTAAGTCTCCTAACAGCAATATTAGAATAAGGATGACCTGATGAAGCCTCAACTAAAGTTCAGCATCCCAACTGAGCCTCTCATTCTTTTTAAAACAACTCTTTTCAGGTTTCTATACATATCCACGCGTAAAACAAGTTCTACTTAAACTGATTATCAAAAGACAGAAACAATACATTACTAACACTGTCTATCCCAAATTTGGATTTAATTTTGATCTGACCTAATTTTCACAGGACTAAGGTAATCTGTAATTGATACTCTTTTAAATCATCACTTCATTATGTAATAACCAAGAGAACCCAATTCCTTCTGTACTTCTGTATTCTCACCATTTAGACAATTTTGTCATGACTTGTCAAAGCCACACCAGGAAATGGTCAACACTGGTAAGTAAAGTTGTATCTGTGTTCTTATGTTAATTCACAGATCTTTTCTATATACTAAGGAGCTTAAAACAGTCACATGGAGAAAGAACACCAAAGTTTATCATCAAAGTGGAGGGGAAACACCTGGTGCTGAAGTTAGATGACAACGATAGTAATTGCAGTCACTAACATTAATGAATGCTTACGGAGCCAGGCATTGTTCTAGGTGCTTTTAATGTAATGCCTCATTTAATTATCACATGAACCCTATGAGGGAGGTGCCATTCTTAGACTTATTTTACACATGAGGAAACCAAGGGACAAATAGACACAGTCCCCTGATTGATAGACAGTTGCCATCAATCAAGATATCCTATTTCCAGAGTCTAAACTCTTAGTCACGAATGTTAAGACTGTCATTTTATAAATAGGCAATGGATGCAAATTGTGCTTATACAGCAAAAGCGTATTTATAGCTTTTAAAAAGTCATTTTTTATATTGTTTTAAGAATAATTAAGTAATTTTCACTATAGGGCACAATAACACCGAAACCTTGATGTAACTTTGTCAACAGGGTCCAAATTGTGACATCACATGGAGTCAGGAGTACTGACATAAGGCCCTTCTGTTACTTCTGGCAACAAACACCAGAGAGGGACTCTCTGACAGACTGGTCTTATTCCAAATCCAGTGTCTTACAGTGATGTCCCATTTTATGCTCTTGGTAGAGAACTGAGTAAAGTTCTATGAAGTACATACAACACTTTTCACATTTAGATCCTGGACAGTCTTTCAGGGTAGTTGAGAAGTCTACATTATCATTTTTCTTAAAGTCCTTACTCCTCAGACAGATTCGCCAATGGAACTTGGTAACATTGTAATTCTCTCCCTAAATATTTATTAGATATGACACAAAAAAGATAAAAGAATAAGAAAAGTTGCCACATCATTTGTGCCTTTTACTACCATTATGCTTTTATGGTAGCATAAAGGACTGTTCCCCTATTTCTTTTTACCCTGAATGACAGACAGGTAGCACAGAGGTAACAACCATGAGCTTTGGAATCGGAGCCCATTTAAGTTTGAATCCTGGCTCCCTTCTCCATGTTACTGGCTGTCCAGCACCGGGCCAGTTCCTCGACTTTTCCAAGCTTCAGTGTCCCTGCCTCTAGCATGGAAGCAGTGCGACTGTGAGAACTGACTGAGACGATGCATGTCACATGCTAAGCAAAGTGTACCTGGTTCAGTGTCAACAAAAAGAGACCGCAAAAGTCATCATTCATGTCAGAAGAACACAGTGGAAAGCGTATCAGGTATTTAATAATCCAGGAGATTTTTCTTCCCTTACATGATATTTAATATAAATGCCAAACTGGAAAAAAGTTACCAATAATGAAAAATCACATTTTCCTTATTCAATAATTTATCTAGAGAAAAAAAGGCCTAGCAGGAGAAAGAACACTAAAAAGCTCATCAAGAATTTATTTCAACTCTTAAATCTACAATTAAAAAAAGGAAGAGTAAAAACAAACCAAAATGCTCACCATGGATCGAATGCTGGTTGTCTTTTTGAGTGGTTGGTTCCAGAACTGCTCTCTGATGGTAGAGAAGAAACTCTAGTTGACACATTATTTTCATGGAAGGAATTGTCTGGACGTGGAGATGGCACTGAATAAAGAAAAAGTAAGTCACTGATGGACTTTTTTTTCTTTTTTTTTCTTTTAGACAGGGTCTCGCTCTGTCACCCAGGCTGGAGTGCAGTGGCGTGATCTCGGCTCAGTGCAGCCTTGACCTCCCAGGCTCAAGCAATCCTCCTGCCTGAGCCTCCTGAAGTGATGAGATTACAGACATGAACCACCGCACACAGCTGATGTACTCTTTTGGTCAAAGCAGTTTTCACATTATCCTACTGCTTTTTCTCTAACACAAATAAAACAAACAAACAAACATACAAAAATCCTCATCAGCCCTTCACATAACTTTTGTGTTTCCTGAGGGTGAAGGCATTCTAGGGAACCATGTCCGTCCATCCACTGCTTATGACACTAATTTGCAAGGGTTAATTAACACCAGGTAATATGTATTGAAAATGGTAAACTGACCTGCCAGCTGATAAAGTGAGAACATTATATTTTCTTTCTCCTCTTTTTTTTTTTTAAAAAAAATAAGAGACTGTTACCCACGCTGGAGTGCAGTGGCACGATCATGGTTCACTGCAAACTCCACCTCCCAGGCTCAGGTGATTCTTCCACCTTAGCCTCCTGGGTAGCTGGGACCACAGGTGCATACCACCACACCTGGCTAATGTTTTGTAGAGACAAGGTTTCACCATGTTGCCCAGGCTGGTCTCAAACTCTTGAGCTCAAGTGATCTGCTCACCTTGGCCTCCCAAAGTGCTGGGATTACAGACGTGAACCACCGCGCCCGGCCAGGGTATTTTCAAGTGTGAATCTCATAGCCCCTACCACCATTCCCCGCCACCGTTTTGGCATTCTTTGAAGTTAAAGCTTTCTTATCATAGACCAACAATGTAAAATCTATTCTTAGTTTGAAGTAATTAATATGTGTGCTGAAACAGACAAACTACAGTTTAAGCCTTGACACTTGGGAGGTAGTATCACTCATGTTTTTAAACTAAATTACACAGAAATTTAGCTATTTCTACAAAAATATTATTTTTCTCTAAATTCTAAATGAACAGAAAAAGGTAAAATATAACATATGTGAATATATACTTTTCTGTTTTTGGGGGGATAGTTATTAACTTTTTCTGTCAATTTCTAAGAATGGTTATAATAAAAATATACTGGAAATTTCACCACAAAAGGAATATACAGACTGTATATCAAGATAAATGATACAATTTCACTTGACTCTTGACCAGTAGGAATGAAAACGGGAAGCATTCTGGAAAGAAACATCTGTTATTTCAATGATACCACCAAATCTTCCTCTAGGACTTAGTAGTATCATTGAAATGACAGATATCTCCAGATGTTTCATCTAGTTAAATATTTTTCTTCTATATCTGAAATTTTAAAAATTAAAACATTCTACCTGCCAAGCTCTCACTACCCTCTCTACTAATGAGGTAGACATATGAAGTATTTCTCTGAATTAACCAATTTATTTTTTTTGCAATCAAAATAAAACCATGTTTCCAGAGGTCAAAGATGAATTAATTTAAATCTCCATTAGCATTTTATATTAATGCATATTCTCCAGACATCTATAGAAATAATACACCTATGGTACATTTTGGAGGTAATGCTTCGGTGATAGAAGAAAAGGCTTTTTTGCACATGTGTGCTATAATATTTTAATTAAATTAAATCTGAATTAAAAGTTTAGTCCCATAAAATTCTAAAGTGTAATCATGGTATCAGAAAAAAATGCATTAAATGGCATATTCAATCAATGCCTTATGCTTTTCCAAAGGTTGGACTGGAAGGGAAGGAACAGTGTAGCCTAATCATTAAATATACATTTAGTCCTAAATAACACTTCTGTGCATTTATTTAGCTGGAGTTCCTAATTAAAATGACTACGCAGTTCTCCACGCCCCCACCTCAAATCCTGCCCCTTTCCAACTATCCTCTCAAAACAACAGAAATAGTGGGAAGTCAGGCAATGTGGGCATAGGAGGCTTTAGAAAGCTGTAGTGACTCTTGAAGGCTTTACAGGCCTCCTGATCCCAGGCCTTGTTCTTGGCCCTGTGGGCTTGCTGTCCATTTTCTCCACCAGGGTGTTGGAATGCCCAAGGGCTTTACAATCTATTATTGCATAGTTACTAAAAGGGATGGCCTTTGTCATTCAATGTCCCCTAAGTTCGTACAACCCCAAAAGCATCTGTTTTAGTTGTCTGTTAAATAACAAAGTACATTTTAGGCTGCGCAAGTACACTTGAAATTTTTCTTTAATTCAATCGACAAATATTTATGAAACTGTGCGAGGCAGTGTACTAGTCAATGAGAATAAAAAGAAGAGAAGATGAAGAGAACTGAGTGTCTCTGAGGGGCTCACAACCTTGTGAGAGAGAACTGCAGACAAAGAATCAGTGCAACGTGGTCAGTGTTACATCAGCGTTACAGACAAGGTGTGACAGACAGAACGGAGAAGACGTTTCACTCCATCTGGAACAAACTGTGGGAAGATATTATACTGAAGAGGACCTTAAAGAAAGGGACAGAGACAAGCTGCTCCAGCAGGAGGAAGAGTACATTACAGGCCAGAGGAGGGCACAGCCTGTGCAGTCCCATAGGCTGGGTACCAGAGAGACCGGGGGGGTGGGGGAGAAAGTGGCTGGAGAGGATGGCAGGGGCCAGACCATGGGAAGTCTGGAATGACATCCTAGAGAATTCAGATTTTGTCCTGATGCCAATGGGAAGCCACCAAATGACTCTCAATAGGTAAGCGATAGGGGATTAGGGTAGGGTGGGGAGGGGTGGACAATGGGATGCCTTACTCTATTTTTTTCCCCCTTGTAGCACTTAGTATCTTTTACTGTTCTATATAATTATGTTTAGTGTCCATCCCTCCTCCCGAGGAAGTGAGTTCCGTGACGGTGGAGATCTCTGGCTGTCTTGTTCACCAACAAGTTCTAAGCCAGAACGGTGCCAGACACACAGGTAACATCGATAAGTGTGTTATGGCTTGACAGAAAGAAATGAGTGGTATGGTCAGAACACAGCTTCAGAAGGATTGCTCCAGTCACTATATTGATGGGTACCTTGGAGATAGGGAGACCAGTTAAGAGGCTACTCAAGGCCAATTCAGAAGCCAGGAGGGCCTGACTTAGCAGGAGCAGAGGCAGGGAGAACCGCTGGAAGGCAACAGTGTAGGTGAGAAGGCCGCTGGCCTGAGTCGGTGAAAGCAGTGTGCACATAAAGCGAGAGAGGGAGGAGAGGGGAACCTGGTGAACGCCGGGGGTGGGCTTACCTCTGTAAAAGCTACCAACTCTCCTTGGCACAGGATCATTGTACAGATGTCTATTTTCTTTGGGGGCTGTGCCATCATCAGAGTGTGGGTCATGATACACTCCACCCTGAGGCAGGAAAGAAATTTATAAAAGTTAAGCCACACATTGATGACAATATTGCCTACGACTTTTTTCTTGAGACAGAGTCTCACTCTGTTGCCCAGGCTATAGTGCAGTAGTGCAATCATGGCTTACTGCAGTCTTGACTGCCCCAGTTCAAGCAATCCTCCTGCCTCAGCTTCCCGAGTAGCTGGGACTACAGGCACACACTGCTACACCCAGCTAATTTTTTAAACTTTCCGTAGAGATGCGGTCTTGTTATGCTGCCCTGGCTGGTCTTGAACTCCTGGACACAAGCAATCCTCCCACCTCAGCCTCCCCAAGTGCTGGGATTACATGTGTGAGCCAACTGGCCCAAATTTAGAACCTAATCAGTCTATAATTGACTTAATGATCTTTTTGAAAGAAAATTCAGAATTATGCCACAAGGAAAACTACTTACTTTATACGCCACTTCAACTTATTTGTGGGAGATTGGATATTAATACATTTTAAAAGCTAGGCAGTAATGATGTTGAACAAATAATGTTTACAGGCATATTTTATTGTGACATACCTCAGACTTCTGGCGTGTATGGAAGGAAGAGGTGCCTTCTCTGGTGGTCTCTTTGACCGACGATCTTGCCACAGTCATCTCTGGAGGGAGCTGTTCTCCAGGCTGGAAGTAAAATTTAAAAGGATTTATAAGAGCATCCTGTTCCTAGGGATGGAACCCATCATGGTCTTTATTTGGTATAACTAGGACCATAACCAGCTAAAATAAAAAATGTTATTTGGCTAAAATACAAATAGTCCCATAAAAGTGAATAATCTGATGAATGTAATATAAGTCAAATTTCACACAGATGGAAAGTAAAATTCTCATTAATGTTAAGGCAAGCAGAGAACAAATTATTCTGAAAATAGTTCAATTAATTACAAAAAGCAAAAAAAAAATTACCCTTCTAATATCTAGACAGTCATGGTTCTGAGCAGCCCTCTGATTAGGAATTCTATTAGTTTATCTGAAATTTCTCTAGCAGATTTTAAGTCTGAGTTCTCCAAAATGAACTGTGCAGTTCCAAAAGTATTTTTCATGCAGGACTTATATGGCAAAGTCAGAGGAAAATAAATGATTTTTGAATATATCAAGGAATAGAATAAGTCCTTTTAATAATTTTTGTGTTAAAATCCTCTAACTACTATAGTTTATATGCTTAAATTCTTATCTTAATCTTCTCTAGGATAACAGCACTTATGTTTCATGTATTTTCTAACGCCAAATCATGATAGTGCTCATCTCCAAAGACATACCACTGTCTTTTTCTCTCAAGGAAGTGAGTCACAAGCTAAGAACAGTACTCGGTCCACAATGGTGTTCACTGAGGGGGAAAAAACAGCATTTTCTATCATCAGAAAAAAAGATTAAGGAAGAAAATTACCAAGTCATTAGAAGGAGTTCGCTGCATTGTATATCTGTATATTATGCACAGAAAAGGGCATTACCTTAAGCCTATGTGATATATCAAAAACATTTTATTTAAGATTTAAAATATGATTATTTTTCTCCCTCTCATTCCCCAAATGTACTCTGAGGATTCTGGGCAGGAATTCATCCAACGTAGCCTTCCTTCTATTTTGTGAAAATGTCTCATTTGACTTTTACCACCTGTACTTTTTACAAAGGCCTCTACAAAAATTATTTTAAGAAAACAAATTATTAACATCTAATATAAACTCAGTAAGAGTCTCTGTGCTTTTGAGGGTGGCCCAATACTTTGCATGGGAGTGATTCCTAGGATTCACTCAACAGCTTAAGTTACTTTTCCAGCCTTCTGGTACCTTTGTGCTTTTAAACTTGTACTTTCTTATAGCTGGGCACTGTACCTCCTGAACTGGCTTTTGCAGTCCGTAACAGATCTGTGCTTAGCCCACAGTAACTGTTTTTAATTCGCTTATGACCACCATGTTCACACAAATTCTTTTCCTGGAATTCTCAGAGAGCAATTACTTTTTCTAAGTTAAAAAGCTATTTGTTTTTCTGATTTCTTTTCCATTTTATACCATCCTGAATGCTAGCACACTTTACCCAATTTTCCCTTCCATCTCTCCTCTACGGGAAGCTGCCAGGAGATCTTTCTAGGCTCTGGATGCTCTTTCTCCTGATAGCGTCTCCTCAGGGCTCCTCTGACCATTCCTCTGACTCCACTTCCAGCCTCTGCAAATGGGCACCTCTTGCTTTCTCCTTTCACCTGGGTGCCAGACCATCTCTTTAGCCTCTTAGAGCACACTACTGCTTAGAAGCCAACGTCACTTCAAATTCAACGTGTCAGCAAGACACAAGTGGCAAGCAGTTGGCCTCAGCACCTGAAGCCTGCCTCATAATCCCAGCTCCATCCTGAACTAGTTGGATAAACTTGGAACAACTCACCCAACTTCTCTGAGCTTCGACATGCTCATCTGTGAAATGAAGGGGTTGAATTAGGTGACTTCAAAACTACTCTCTTTCACTCCAAACAGGAGGTCCTAGAAAAGAAACCATGAAGTCTTCCTTTTTCCTATATTCAGTCCTTCAAATCACAAATCCTGTTGTTTTTACTTTTGAGGAGTAGAAGATCCACTCTGTTTCCCACTGGCACTAACTTAATCCCAAACATATTCTCTTCACCTCGTGCTTGAATTATTGCAAAAGCCACTCCAAATTTTGCATTTTTCACTTCAGCAAAGTGGAACAAGTTGCAATGCCCAAAGCACACCATGCTGTGTAACATCTGTTACCTTCCTTCTCCTTCCAATGCTCTTTTCTTCCCTCTTTCCTGAGGTCACTGTCACTTTCTTCCCAACCTTCCTGGAAGTCTCTGCTCAGGTGCCACTTGTTCTAGGAGCTCCCACAACTCACAATTTGGACTGTCTCGCTCCCTTGGCACACTGGCATGCCTCTAGCACAGCAGCCAGAATGTAACCTCGCAGTAGTGGAACAACCTATCTGTTGACAAGTGTCCCCTGCCAGCTCACACACTTAAGACAACAGGGACCCTATTCTTTTCATCTTTCTAGCTAGAGCTTTTCATGTTGCCTAGTTCATGACATGCCTGAACATATCTTCACTCTTCAGTCTATTCAAAGCTTGTCTATACATCCCAGCCCAGAGCAAGACCTTCGGTTGCCTATAAAGCCATTTTTAACTACTTCTGCTCACAATGACCTCTCTCTATTCTCAATTCCTCTTTATAGCCAGTGCCATATTGACTTTGGTCTTACTTGTTTCACTGTTATCAGGTATCACTTTATCTTCTCCAACAGCAGGTAAATTTCTCAAGTGCAAGAGCTCTCTCAAGACTCTTTTGAGTGCCTGGGAACACCCAGCATAGAAAAGGTGCTCGATGTCCAAATATCAGCCTCCACCCAGAAGCAGCAGGAATAACTAAAATTTGTTACTTACTTTGTGCCAGGCACTGGGCACAGTGCTTTATAGATGAAATCATGAGAACATTATTTTTAAAACACGCTCTACTGTAAGAATGTAATCTTTTTTTTTTTTTTTTTTTTGAGACGGAGTCTCATTCTGTTGCCCAGGCTGGAGTGCAGTGGTGTGATCTCGGCTCACTGCAACCTCTGCCTCCCAGGTTCAAGCGAAGGAATGCTACTTCTTTTAAGCAGGTTAGGTCAGTTCTACAGTCTGACGATGAGTAAGATGGAGGAAGCATTATGCTAAAAATACTGTTTTAAGATTTAGAAACAATCCAAAAGACTGAAAATTAACATTTATCCTGGTATGAAGTTAAATTTATCTATAGTGGACAAATTTAAAACTTTTAAATTCAGTTAAAATATTGAGTAAGGTACTAGCAAAAGCTGTTGATTTAAGCAAATGTGGTTTGGAGAGATCAGAGAAAATACTCATGAATTCACACTGTATTTTAAGGAAAACTAAAACCTAACCCATACAGCTGATGAATTCTGTAATAAATCAAAATAGGATCCTCTCAACAAAATATTCCAGAAAGGAACATTCAAGAAAAAAAAAATTACTAAAAACAAAATTTGACTTTTCTTGAGTACTCAACAGTTGATCTAAATAGATTTAAAACAAACAAATAAACAAACAAACAACAACAACAAAAAAACCGAGATTAGGCCAAGTATTGCTTCCCTAAATGCATCCTATCAAGAAAAGCACGATGTCCTGTAGTAGGGAAAATTATAGACAGACCCTCATCACATCCCTTGTACCACCTTCCCCTGAAGGGTCACCAGATTTGGTCAAGGTGCTCAACTGTACCTGGGGTGACAAGAGTTGCAGGCTGTTGGCTCTAGCTGCCATCCCTTGCCCTATGCTCAAGCTTCCATCCAAGCCTTTGGCTCTCACTTTGTCACGGGTCACATACATAGAATGCCTATGAGGACGTTGCTGGGAAGAAAAGGGGCTGGTGTAGCCCAGTCCATAAGAAAAAGATTCGTGAGGCGCAGACAGCGAATGGGAATGGCTACTGTCCATGTGCTCAGGCAGCTTCAATTCCTCCATTGTCTTAGAATGTCTGGTTGTGGTTCGACGTGAGTCCAGCGTTCCTTCATTTCGGTTATTTCTCCCAGAAGGGCTGAGCAAAGTTCTCGTGTCACTGTGTCTGGTGGGGGTTGGGCTGGTGGGAGAATTCAAGTCTAGGCAGCTAGATGGGAAGTACCTACTGGTACTGGGCTCCGCAATTTGGGCCCTGGCTTCAGAAAGGTTGCTCACAGACTTGGAGTCACTCAGTGCCCCATGGCTTTTGGCCTTGGTCCTGTAGGAGGGACTCCTAGAGGACTGGGGAATGGTGTCAATATAGCTATGCCGACTCTGCTTTTCATTGGGCTGCAGTGTCCCAGCTTTGCTTTGAGAGCTTTCCATGAATGAGTGGCGGTTCTGCTGAGATCTGCTGTTCGACTTGAGGTACTTTGTCCCTGGGCCTTCTGAAGGCTTTGGGTCAATATTAAAATCAAACTCTGTTTTTGACTTGGCTTCTTTTGGGCTAAGAAGGTGTGGTATGTTGTTGTTGGTGAGATCTTTGCTGGTAGACCCAGGCTGGCTGCTTGCTTGGTAGGTTTTGGTGTGCAATGGACTAAGACTAGCTCCAGCAAGGTTTCCATTTAGGAAGCTTTCATTGGCAGGGAGACCTTCGTCAGCCCGGGGCAGGCCTACACTCAGGTTCTGGATGTCTTTGCTGTTAGATCTGTGGTGAGACTGCAAAGCAGTACTTTTGCCGGCTTGGTTTCTATGTTAAAAACAAAAGAAGCATATCAGTTTCCCTCAATAGCTAACACACAAAAAGTATTGTTAAAAAGAAAGAACAAATACTTGAAACACCTGGAAGACTAAAAACATTAATTCTCTCAAGCAAGTGCCTTCAAATAACAAGTAACCTATCAACAGCAATTAAGTTTCTTAGACCAACTCACTCTGTAACAAAGCACTGGCCTTGATGAAATTATTCTGGCACTGCTAAATGCTCAGCTAACTTGCTGTCAAAACAGTTTCTAAATGATAATCTAGTAAAACATGCTCTCACTATGTTGGGACTCGTATGAGTGTTTGTGATAGAATGACTGCTAAGAAGAGAACTGAGCTATAAACTCTTTATAACTCTTCTGTCTGCTTGAATGTCAGAAGACAACATTTAGACTTAAAGGTTACTATGTTTCTTGAACTTCATTTTTATTTGTAAAACGTGTAGCCTGCCTCAGAGATATATACTCACAGCACATACACACAGACACCAATATCTCTTTTGCCTGCATAATCAGAGAATGAGAATTCTAGCAATGTACTTAATAAAAGAAAATGACCCTCTAAAAAGAAATGTAAACTGTCCAGTGAGGTTTGTTGGAAAACATGATGATCAATGTTTATGTCTTGGAGAAGTGGCAATTACTTGGGGCTCTTCAGATATCTCCTTGTACAGTAAACAGGAATCCTGTACTATACGCGATTACAGAGATCTGAAAGAGTTCATTTCTCTCCAAAAGACACAATTATTCTCTTTTTTATTTAACACTTCGTTATCCTAGACCGACTGAGCCCTCATTTAGGACTTAAAACTTCATTTCACACTTGGTTTAAAATACAAAATATAAATCCAGAGGAAAATCTTGTTCTCTATTTGAAGCTGAACCTGACACCATAGCAAGGCCAGTTTGTGCTACTGTAACTATTGAAAGGACCTAATTGTAGCTTGGGACAGATTAGAATGTTTAAAAATGAATGATGATTTACACAATTCTGGTTTTACTATGCATTCAAAAAATTTTGCTGCAAATATTGCTATTGCTACAGATGGTCTGATTTGGGAGAGTTTTGTTCCCATGACACACTAACTGGAAGTCACTTTTTATGTTCATGTAGAATGGTAGTCTGTGAAACTCTGACTTCCAATTTTCCCCATGAGAACCTGCATGCTCAGCCATCAAATAACATAAGGACCCATTTCCTAGTCTACCTTTCAGTCAGTAATCTCTGCCAGAAAGCTACCTGAGAGTGTCAAAAAAGAAAAAAAATCTGATATCAAGCAAGCCTGTGACAGTGTAGGGTGCCTCATCTCCTGAATGTACTCACTAATCTCTTCCAGTTAGGTCATTAGAATTATAGCATTAAATAAAAGGACACTTAAATAGGAGTACTAAATGGCAAAGCCCAGACCCAGAAAGGAATTACAAAGAAAAAAATGCTAAGTTTCACTTTCTGTTAAATTATATTAACAGAGTCTATCCCCAGATCAATAAAGTCCCTGTATCCTAAAGGCATCAGGTTTTAAACCATTGAGTTGTTTGCCAACTTATATCTTGGTGACTGAAATACCTCAGTGACTTTTCAAACCTAGTGATAGACTGTCTCATCCACAAATAGATCTAAGTGTGTTGGTTATTCTCCATTTGCCCAACCTCCAATCTGTCCTCCACCCCCATCAGCCCGGCCCTGGGCCTCAGGAACCCAATGCTGCAGATTGTCACCCACGCTTCCTAGCCAGCTAGCTTCTGGTTGGGCTTAGCAGTGGAAGGCATCACAAGACAAGAGGAGAGAGGGGCGGGGGGATGTCTTCCCTGCTCCTTCCCTGCAGGCATCTGTACCCTGACTCAGATCGTGGCTGTGTCCTTCTAGATGACAGCTTCTACAGGGTGGCTCTTCCTGCCCAGGTCCAGCTCTCCCTGGACTCTCAGAACCCTATTTCATCCCCATTCCCCTTCAGGCCTAGAAATAGTAATTGTAAACAGATAACATGTACAGATATTGGGAAACGTCCTCAGCTCATGAAGACCAAAAAGGGACAGAGAACAGCAAAGGCAGCTGCTTGAGCCTTTGGAACTCTTAGAAACACTGTTAGCAATGTTGAGCAGAAACGTACTTGTGGATCTTAGGAAGAACACATTCAGAGCAATGTAAGAGCCAATTCTAACATAAAAAGAAAGGTTATCCAGTTAAGGTAAAACGTGTCAAAGCTTTACGTTTTCCGTAAGTGTACAAAGAGCCTAAACTGCCATTCTGAGTGTTTGTGTCTTAGGATTAGTTGGAAACTACTGAGCTTTGCACATAACGCCTACGTAGAAAGGGCATCATACTGTCTTTGCATCAGAGCTCTGCCAAAGCGCAACAATAAAAAACAGCTTTGAAAATTCCATAGATCTCTTTGACACACAACTGTAAGGAATCTGTGTTAAACTGCCAACTAGTTAAAAAAATTTTGCATACAAAGTCTTCTTAAATGGTTGCAGGAGGGATGGATGGATAGATGATGATTTAGTTGAAGTAAGTTTTAAAAGCAAATGTCGAAGGTGCAAAGCTACATTTTCATGGAGAAGGCTGGTGCAGGACCGGGAGAGTGGCAGTGTGGGGCAGCTGATGCACTTTTGCACCGTGTCCATGGTGAGCAGAACCTCAGCAGAGCCTGAGGGAGACAGGCAGGGGCTAAGTAACACAAGAGTCCACTGCCTCTCCTAGAGAGAAAGAATTTAGAAGACAAGGTATGCAACAGCATGTTTGTGTCTCCAGATACAAGGCAGGGGAGTTTGTACGTGGCAACCAATGTGATATGGTGCTGTGAACATCTCTAAAACGGTCCTACGAAGTCTTAGGGAGCCATCGTTTGTGTTGAGATTCAAGCTAGAATTAATGTCTCTAAAAAAAAAAGCTTCCATGGAATAAGTATGGACCATAGACCAGTGGGGAGCAAAAGCCCTCAGATACATGTAAAATGTGGTAAGATCATTCCTAGAAAAAGCATTTAAGACCTTTTCTTTAATATATTCAATACAGTGTCAAGACCTGAAAATGAATTCTTCCAGAGATTTTAAATTTACTTATAATTTCTATTCTCCTCTATTTCAAAAGGGGACTTGGGAGGACTCCTCAAGGACCCATACAAATCATATCTTCTGTATCTGCTGAAAACATCATCACCAAGCACATCCTCCTTAACAGATCCCTAAAGAGGTTCCCAAGGAGAGCCTCAGGTCCCCACTGGTTAACTCCAAGAAATCTCTCTCAAGTGAGTCACTAGAAGACAAATACACAGCCTTTTTTCACAGTATGGGTTACATCACTAATCACTATAGCACAAATCAAAAACTTATTATCAGTCTACTGAACTTTATATCATTGGGATAATTTTTCGGTGTAAACTAAAGGAGCTAAGAGACAATTAAGGTAGAAGGGAGATAAAAGCACCTGAACTGAGAGTAACCCCAAAGAAGACACAGGACTAATTTGCACTTCCTAAATGCAAAGGAGCAACCAAATGATGACTGCTATTCCTTGACTTAGTGTCCTAAAAATTTCATGGCAACAAACAAAGAAAGTCAGCTAAGAATGGTCCATAAGATGTAAGGGGAAACAAACTGAAACCAGTCATTTTCAAGAAGAGTAAACAGCTCTAAAACACAATTACACTATCACAGTTAAGCAGAGAAAACATATGATAAATGGTCATCATCAATTTATGGATGCTCTCCCAGACCTAAATAGTACCAGATCTTGAGCTTTCAAAAATCTGATCTGTTAAGAACAACTGATTGGCCAGGTGTGGTGGCTCACACCTGTAGTCCCAGCACTTTGGAAGGCCGAGACAGGCCAATCGCTTGAGCATAGGAATTCTCCACAAAAGCTACAAAAATCAGCCAGCCATGGTGGCACATGCCTGCCATCTCAGCTACTTAGGAGGCTAAGGTGGGAGGATCGCTTGCCAGGAAGGCAGAGGCTGCAGTGGGCCATGATCGCACCACTGCATTCCAGCCTGAGCAATAGAAGAAGACCCTGTCTCAAAAAAGAACAATTGTTCTATATGGAAGGAAAATTTGGGGCTGGGGGTGGGAAGAAAATTTATATTAAAAAAGTGGCCGGGGCCGGGCGCAGTGGCTCAAGCCTGTAATCCCAGCACTTTGGGAGGCCGAGACGGGCAGATCACGAGGTCAGATCAAGACCATCCTGGCTAACCTGGTGAAACCCCATCTCTACCAAAAAAATACAAAAAACTAGCCGGGCGAGGTGGCGGGCGCCTGTAGTCCCAGCTACTCGCGAGGCTGAGGCAGGAGAATGGCGTAAACCCGGGAGGTAGAGCTTGCAGTGAGCTGAGATCCGGCCACTGCACTCCAGCCTGGGCGACAGAGCGAGACTCTGTCTCAAAAAAAAAAAAAAGCTTCATATTAGGAATTATTGTTTTCAGCCAGATGCGATAGCTCATGCCTGTAACTCCAGTACATGGGGAGACTGAGGCAGGAGGACTGTTTGAGGCCAGGAGTTTGAGACCATCCTGAACAACAGAGTAAGACCCCATCTCTACAGAAAATTTAAAAAATTAGCCAGGTATGATGGCATGCTCCTATAGTCCCAGCTACTCAGGAGGATGAGGTGGAAGAGTTGCTTGAGCCTGGGAGTTCAAGGCTGCAGTGAGTTATGATCAAGCCACTGCACTCCAGCCTAGGCAAGAGCTCAAAGGTCCTGTCTTCTAAATAAACTAAAAAATAAAAATAAAGAATCATTGTTTTCTACTTATCTTGTAATAGTAGATGAGAGAAACTATTTCCTATCTTCCATAATCCAACGACCCCAGATGACAAGATCAGCCTCTTGGGAGATGAAGGAAAACAGGGAGACCATGACTAGGACACTGTCCTCTTGGACATGCAACCAACAGAATTGAGGAATGTCAGGTCTGAAAGACAACCTGATTGTATGGCCCAAATCCCGTGTGTGTGTTTTTCAGGAAATAGGCTTTGAAAAAATTATGCTGAAAAATCATATTTAGAGAGCAACAATTTTAATCACTGACTTTACTATTTCCATATTCTTATTCTTATGAAAAATTAATTTCGCAACTCAATGATTAAAAGACAAGAGCAATAAAAACACAAGACCCCTCTGTAGAGCCAGACCTACTTGGTCCAGTCACAAAGATTACACTAGGTACATTTCCAACCACCATCTGTGTTTGGCATCCTCTTCTCTCTCCAGGAATCCCCTTGCCTTCACCCATCTTTCTTCCTCCAGGCATCACTGATGGGTCTCATTCATGCAGAATATTCTAGCTCTTGAGGCTGTAAATCCCCTTAGTTGCTAACCCAATGCTACCTTTCCCAGGGAATGCATAGGTTTCCATCATATACTAGTTAAAGATAAGAAAGTCTTTAAGACCCACACAACTCCTTAATTGTGGTTCTGAATCATGCAATAAGCATAAGGAAGATATTTTTGAATAAAGAGGGCTTTCCTTCTTTTCTCTAATTGCATCATTTAAGCAGCCACCTCCTCCACCTACTTGTAAGACCAACACTGCATCTGTATTTCCTTAAAAGGGAATATTTACCTATTAGACAATGTGCTGCTTTCCACATGGTAAGGTTTTCTTTTTGCTGACCTTGAAGGAGAACGATCCAGAAGTCTCTGGGTTTGAAATGTAGGGTGATTCAAACACTGTTCTGTCAAGTATCTGTCAGCTGGGTCCAACTTCAATAAATTCTTAGGAAATAAAATTTAGGATTGTTAAGAACATTACAAAGTAAAATTTAAGTTCTAATAAAAACCTTATTTTTTTTCCTTATAAAAGAAATACACAGTCATTGCAGAATATCAAGTAAACACAGTTTGGGAAATAAAAAAAGACTATCTAAATCACCTATAATCTCATTATCATTTCCTCTTGGTATATATGATCCCAGCCCTTTTTTGAATATCCTATATACATATTTTCTCTTACAAAATATACACACAGTTTTGTACCCTGCACTTATCATTAATCAAAATCACTTTTACAATATAATTAAAAATTTAAAGTATACTTTTAATTACATAGATACTTGAAAGAATATACATTTTTAATCTTTCTCTTATTCCCCAGATACCCAGTTCTCTTTTCTGGAGGCAGCCTAGGTTATCAGTTTCTTGGGCATCCTTCCATAGATATTCTCTATACATATCTCTATCTGCTCCTTTTATTTTACCCACATAGTAGTACACACATAATAGCCAGAATTTAGCTTTCTTCCCACTTGACATAAGATCTTAAGAAATCATTCGGGACTGGGTATGGTGGCTCACATCTGTAATCCCACCACTTTGGGAGGCTGAGGCGGGTGGATCATCTGAGGTCAGGAGTTTCGAGACCAGCCAGACCAGCATGGTGAAACCCCGTCTCTACTAAAAATACAAAATTAGCCGGGCGTGGTGGCTCATGCCTGTAATCCCAGCTACTCAGGAGGCTGAGGTAGGAGAATTGCCTGAACCTAGGAGGTGGAGGTTGCAGTGAGCCGAGATTGTGCCATTGCACTTCAGTCTGCACAAGAGTGAAACTCCGTCTCAAAGAAAAAAAAAAAAAAATCATTCTGTATCAGCAAAGAGCCTCAACTCTAATTTTTTGGTTTTAAAGTTTCTTCTTTTACGTTTTTTTAACTTTTAAGTTCAGTATTTGGAAGGAAATTTTTTTTAAGACTAAAATAGAGCCAACATAATTACTGCAGCTAGTCTTAAGGTTATTAGGGGCTTGAACTAATTCTGGTGACTTGTACCCCACTAAATTGGCTGACAGGATGAGATGGCCATTTTAGGTAATTATATGTGGACAAAATTAACACGGCAGCTTTAGAGAATGGCAAAGAGAATATTTCTCTTTGAAATATTCAAAGAAGGGATAATTGGTATTTTTCATTTTTCAAATCTGTTTTCAAAAAAAGCTAAAAAACAAGAGGAATGATTCTATTTATATAACATTCGATAACAACAAGGCAATACTAATCTTTGGTGACAGAAGTCAGAACTGGTTTTGGGGTGGGGGGTGGCATAAAGCCTGGAAGGGGGCATAAGAAGGCTTCCAGGGTGTTAGCAATTTTCTCTGTCACCATCTGGGTAGAGTTATACTAATATGTTTACATTATAAAAAGTAACTGACATATAGATATAATTCATGCACCTTCTGAAAGGACATGTCAATAAAAATATTTACTTCAAGAAATCTGATGGTAAAGATATTAAATAAATAGGAATTTGAATGTTTAACTTCTAAACTGGCAGAAGCACAGGATGATTCGGGTTATCTTTCTACTTTTATTTGTGCTAGCTTTTAATCAGGTACCATACTGATGCTTGGCAATTATATTTGGTAATGATTTAACAAAAACATTCAATTATTTTTAACTAAAGAAAGATGAAAGGCAGAAAACATGAAATTGTATTTAATTCCATGTTCCTATTTTATTCTATTTACATTTTAAAAGTTACCAAATTATTGAGGTCCCAATACATGAGGACTGACTGTGTGAAAAAGCGTATTGACAAAACCTACCTGATTTAAGTTATAATTTATGCCTAATTAAACAAAAGGCTTTGAGGGTTCTTTCTGAGGGTAGCATTTCTCAATCTGCGTTCAGAAGAACACTACAGCTTTAGCATTTTATAAAAAACAGTATTCAGTATTTAATTAAATTTGGAAAATAGTGGATAAGACAGAAATGCTTCTTTACTGTGATATTTCTGAAAGCCTTTATAGATTAAGGAATATTGTGCATCTCTACAAAAGGTTGTATGGTATGTGGCCTTTCTGAAACGTCACACCCTCCTCCCCCACCTCCACCCCCACACCTATGTACATTTTGTTCCCTGGAACACAGATTAACATAGTTTAAAGCACGGCAAAGTTCTGAGAATGCCACTCGAAAATTTCCGACTGTGCTAAGTATGCCTTTCAAAGGCTCTATGCACAGTGTAACCTCTACTGATTTTGACAGTTGACTGACTGGGCATAAAATAAAATTGATCCATTAATAAGTGTTCTTTGAAGGTCTACTATCAAACAATCAACACTTGTTTGTGCACTTCTGGCTGCAGTGAAAGCTGGAGAAATATGAAAAATAGTTCCCACTCAAGAAAAACTTGAATAAAGAAATTTGAGAATGCTTTTAGGGTATAGAGCAGGAAGACTTTTGGACAGGGAAGGTAGCATAAGGAAGAACACTCAGGCCACAGCATTAGCAATCATCCTGATATGTCTAAAGTAGAGCCAGAAAGAGTCTGGGAGAAAAAGAGAAAAATTAGATTCACTGATCAAATCTGTGTAGGCGATGGGAGGCTTCAAATACCATGTCAGAAAAAATTGTTGAATTTCTTCTTTCAACATTGATTTTAAGATTTGTTTTAAAACCTTATGCTTGAACAGCTCTTGCACGCTAACAGATTTTTATTATTCTGTCCATTTAAAAAATATCATTTAGGGATCTCATGATTCTGTGTAGATGGACTGTGACAAGACCAAATCCCACTGTAATTTTAAATAAGTTACATGCCTTTTAATATGACATAGTTCCCCATTATTTGCCATTCCACATCTCCTAACATTTCATTCATAAAAGCAGGCTATGGTCACATGTAGACATAAAAGAATCCACAAATCAATAGATATTTTATAGAGATAACATCGATTTGCCTTACCTTCATTAGGTCAAGTAGAACACTATTCAAAATTCCAAGATATCTTCTTTCCAAGGACTGAGGATGGTTAACAGCTGGAAACTGTGAGACACACACAAAGCGAATGTTAACATTTGGGGAAGGATATGTTGTGTACGTGCTTGTGAGTGCTGCAGAAGGGAGCAGATAAGCAAAAATGCCAATCCCAGTCAAATTCATACTTGTATATTACTTTTGTTGTCTATGTATTTTTATTTTATTTTTTTTGAGACGGAGTTTCGTGCTGTTGCCCAGGCTGGAATGCAATGGCATGATCTCGGCTCACTGCAGCCTCTGCCTCCTGGGTTCACGTGATTCTCCTGCTTCAGCCTCCTGAGTAACTGGGATTACAGGCACCCGCCACCACGCCCGGCTAATTTTTTGTATTTTTAGTAGAGATGGGGTTTCACTATGTTGGCCAGGCTGGTCTCGAACTTCTGACCTTGTGATCTGCTCGCCTCAGCCTCCCAAAGTGCTGGGATTACAGGCGTAAGCCACCACACTCGGCCGTCTATGTATTTTTATATGGATTAATAGGACTAGGTGTCAAATAATAGGAAAACTCACAGGTGAAAGATGATACTTAAATCTAGGCAGACGATACTAAGGCATGTGAAACAAACTAAAATATAAAAGTTTGAACTAATTATGTAGTAAAATAGAATATCATCTGTTTATACAAACAATTCAGTTCTAATATAGTATATACATAATTTGCTTATACACATGATTCTTAATTACTGAGAGTAATTGAGGATCTAGCAGAAAGTATATGATAAGACATCAGATAGTATTCTTATAGCTTTTTAACAACAACATACCATTTACTCTTGAAAACAGAGAAGTAAAACAAGAAAGTAAGTGGCCAGTACCTAAAAGATCATGAAAGTAGAGAGTGAATTCAGACACACATTCTATCATTGCTTTTAATAAGCTCTTATAATAACCTGTTTTCAAATTCTTCCTTTTTTAAAGTTGGAACCGAAGACAAACATAGGTTCCTAGATTAACAAATGCATTTTTAAACAAAATGAGGGGAAGAGGTCAAGTTTATTTAGATGTGCTTTCTGTTCTTTCCTCTGCCAACTCACATTCTGCAATATCTAGTGGATGTGAAAGTATTGGGTAATATGACTGGCAGAGCCCAGTGCCATGTGCTCCCTTCCAAATGTCAGGGCTAGTCTGCTTCCATACGTTATTTCCTCTATACCAACATGCCAGCATTTCAAAGTACTGAAATCCTTAAACATGCTAAATAAGTAAATGGGAGGACTAATTACATAGTAAAATTTCAAACAAGATATTTAAGGATTATGACATCATCTCCACACCATGCTCTGGATAGAAGGAGACAAAAAATACAGGTAAGACCCAAACCCTGCTCTTGAGGGATCTGCTGTCTGGTTGGGAAAGCAATCAGTGTTAAACTGTGTAATCATAAATTCTAATTGAAGCTCAGAGAAAGGAAAGACCAAGATGGTTTATGGCCGTGGAAGAAATAACCCATAGGTAATATCTGAACTGGGTTTTGAAAAATATGAAAAATGTGAAGACAGAGAAAAGTAGGACAGCACCTTCCAGATAGAGGAGTAGAAGGAATAACATGAACTCAACAGAGATGCACAGGCAATAACCTAAAACTGATTTCTGAGGGAAGTGATGTTACATGAGGCATTTTGGATATATTATTCTTATTTTAGAGATGAAGAAGGTGACAAGCAGAAAGTTCAAATAACTGGTTCAAGGCAAGTTACATAATTAAACAGCAGTAGAATTAGTATTTGCACCCAGTCTTGTGATCCAAACCCACACTCTTTCTAAACCTAGGTGCCTCTCCTAAGGGAAGTACAGAGGTTCCCTTTGATGTTACTAGAGCATTAAATATCAGCCCAAAGAGAAAGACACTACCATGCTGTGATAGAAGACCCTATACTAGTACATGTTAATATTTTGTGTATGAGGTCTATCTTATGCTACCAGATACCGCCTTCTTTTTTCTAGGAGTGAAATTTCATTGATAAGAAAATTAATGCTGAAAGTCAAAAGGTATTAGAAATATTACAATAAAAAATGACCAAGCAAACTCCTAACTTCAAAGAATTTACATGCATTTGAATGAGACCTACCATTCTAATATGAAATAATTCAACAAATAGCCAAAACTCATGCATAGAAGTTTAAAATATATCTCAATCAGTCTTTTTCTTTCTGAATCACTTGGCCAATCCAATCCAATCCAATCTAATGAGAATGCTTCTTTGCTGAGTACTACGTGTGAGGTTCTGGTCTAGACATTTTACAAATAATATTTCATCTTTACACCAATCCAATCAGGCAGTCTTTTGGTTATCATCATTTTACATGACAAGAAACAGAGGCACAGGATGGTGAAATAACTTCCTGGCATCATTCAAAATAGTAAATATGGAGCCAGGCCTTGAACCCCAACAGTCTAACTCCAGAGTCTAGGCCCTATACTATGGGGGCATCAATTGTTACTTTATCCCAATAATGCAAACCACTATAAGCAACATCTTGTAGATTTTCCTGTCTCTATACAACTAAATCCAAATGCACATCACAATGGACGGGTTACTGGTCAGTCCATGGTGCACAGCAGATGCAGTTTACATGTCCCATGTGCTTAGCTATCTGTTATAGACATTTTCAAATAACATCATGAAAGAAAATTTCTCCCTCAAAAGATATTGTCAAGCCTCCAAAGAGATTAAACTAATTTAGTTAAAACACCACAAACACTTTCAGACTAAAATGTGAAAGTATTAAGGTTTATAAAAGTCAAAGTGTGATGGAGGCAGCAATTTCCCTGAAGGATATTTGTAAGCAGCATTATCATATGCTGTCTGGAATTTTATAGACAATATTGTTTAGGGAAGAAGACTATGAACAAACAGGACCACAGACAAATGAGAAAGAGATATTCTTTGTGTGGCCTATCTAATCGAAATGCTCCTCGTTCTTCAATATCCATTTCAAATGTCAAATGCTTCATAAAGCCTTCTCTAATGAATCCCCAATGATGATTTCTAACTTTCCAGAATATGTGACACTCTCATGGTCTAAACCATACGGAGATACATTAGAAAACCATACAATGAGGTCAACAATGCAGTACTTTATTATATACCACACTTTCTTATAAATTGTATTGTTTTCTAATTATTTCATGGATGGAAGTCTTAATTCTTCAGCTAGTTTATAAGTTATCAAGGCCAAGCAGTATGTCAGATCTGTTTATACTCTCTTCAGAGAATCCAGCATAGAGCCTCATTAACCAGGCCAAGAACAAGTCAGCCAACAAACCAGGCTTAATGTTCCAGCAGTTAATGTTAAAATCCTGAGCTCAAATATTTAATCATTCAACACTATTCAGCCTCGCAGGCACTATTCTAGGTGTGCTGCAAATACAATGGTGAACATTAACAGTTCATTTCCTCAGGGAATTCATTAGTCCAGTGAGGATACATATTTGCAAACAGCTACTTAAAGGAGAATGCAATGGGTGCTACAAGAGGTATGACCAGAGTGTTATAGGGTCACCAGTTTCCCCTCGAATAGTCTAGAAGGTCTTCATGGAGGGAGGACATTTGGCCTGAGTCTAGAAGAGGAATAAGGAGGAGAAGAAAGAGGGGTGAGTGTTGGGAGCATTATAGAGATGGAAATGCAGAGTATAAAAGCAATATGTCGAGGAAATGGTGAGAGGTTCAATGTGGCCAAAGAGCACACACTGGGCCAGGCGGGAGGCAGAAATGAGGCTGGAGGACTAAGAAGGGGTTTGTAAGCTACCCTAAAGAGTTTAAACTTTATCAGTAACCTTGTAGAGGTTTCTCAACAAAAAAGAGAATTGTGTGGTTTGAGAAATGTGAGAAGGCTAAAATGAAAAGAGAAAGATCGGGGGATCTATTTGGGGGTGATGGTCAAAGGTTAGGTAAAGGTAAAAGGGTAAAAGCAGCATGAGAGATGGAGAGAAAAGAAATACAGTTAAGCTTGAATGCTGATGCCACAGACTGGTTAATCACTTCTCAGATACGTAGTGAGTACTTACTGGATATGGTAGTTTCTGTGTTAAATGCTGGAAACACATCTGTGATGTGACAAAACCGCTGATTTCTGCCCTTCAGAAACCTATATTCTAGTGTGGGAGGACTAGATAGTTAATAACAAGTAAAGAAACAGACAAAATAATTCCATACTGTGCTAAGTTCTATGATAGAGAAAGGATGCTGTGGGAGAGAGAGACTAGGATGGAGGTAAGGGTGGTATGTTGGGTGGCCAGAGAAAGGGGCACTCTTTGAGACTGATAGAATGAAAAGGGACCACACGAGGGAAGCACCTTGCCAGGAGAAGCAGCCATGGGTCCCAAGTTGGTGAAACTGGAAAAACCCTGGAATGTTTACAGAAGCCAAAGAACAAAAAAGGTAAGTGTGCTGAGAATCTGGAGAATGGGGGGAAAGGAGATAGGTATGAGATGAGGTCAGGCAAGGTCTCATAGGCTACGACAAGGAGTTTAGATGGATTCTCAGTGAAAATGCAATTCATTAATTATGACTAACTTTATTTCTGAATATAATAGATTTTTCTTTCTTCTAGACTGAGGACAAGTCCTATTTATTGTCATATTTCCAACACCTAGTATGACAAATGTTCAAAACTGTTGAGCTAAGCTGCTGAACTACATATGCTCTTGGCGCCCCAATTACTGGTCATATATGGCAAATTTTTGGCTTACAAAAGCAAAAATAAAAGGAGAAACGACAAACTTGCCTGAGGTAACTCAGACAGATGTGAAAGACAGAGAAAGCAGGAGATAAAAGAGACACTGGTATGCCTCTGTCCATTCATTTCAACCACATTCACTGAGCCTAGAAGGATCTGGACGGTTAGGCACTCAGGTTTGAGCAGCGGTGGTCTCTAAAGGGAAATTAACTGAGGGCCAGAAAATCAAAAGAAAAAAACAAAGTGCTTTGTAAATGGCAAGGTAACATGGTTTGAGAATTATGCATTTCAGAGAAAGAAAGGAAATGGTGGGGAGATTATTTTATAGTTCCCAAAATGACCAGCAATTGCCATGTTGGCCCAAAAAAGTGGCTGAAGATGGATTAAAGATTTAAATGTTAGACTAAAACCATAAAAACCCTAGAAGAAAACCTAGGCAATACCACTTCCGGAACAGAATTTAGGGGGCGCCATGAGCAAGGACTTCATGACTAAAACACAAAAGCAATGGCAACAAAAGCCAAAATTGACAAATGCGGATCTTAATTAAACTAAAGAGCTTCTGCACAGCAAAAGAAACTACCATCAGAGTGAACAGGCACCTACAGAATGGGAGGACAATTTTTACAAGTCTACCCTGCTGGACAAGGCGGTACAGCTATCAGAGTCTACAAGAACTTAAACAAATTTACAAGCAGAAAAAAACAACCCCATCAAAAAGTGCGGGAAGGGCATATTAACAGCACTTCTCAAAGAAGACATTTATGCATCCAACAGACACATGAAAAAACTGCTCATCATCACTGGCCACTCAGAGAAATGCAAATCAAACCACAATGGATTATCATCTCACACCATTGAAGGAGGAGTAATGGTAGACATTAAAAGGTCAGGAAACAACAGGTGCTGGAGAGGATGTGGAGAAATAGCAACACTTTTACACTATTGATGTAAACTAGTTCAACCACTGTGGAAAACAGTGTGGTGATTCCTCAAGGATCTAGAACTAGAAATACCATTTGGCCCAGCTATCCCATTACTGGGTATATACCCAAAGAATTATAAATCATGCTGCTATAAAGACACACGCACATGTATGTTTACTGCAGCACTATTCACAATAGCAAAGACTTGGAACCAACACAAATGTCCATCAATGATAAACTGGATTAAGAAAATGTGGCACATATACACAATGGAATACTATGTAGCCATAAAAAAGGATGAGTCCATGTCCTTTGTAGGGACATGGATGCAGCTAGAAACCATCATTCTGAGCAAACTATCCCAAGGACAGAAAACCAAACACCTCATGTTCTCACTCATAGATGGGAATTGAACAATGAGAACACTTGGACACAGGATGGGGAACATCACACATCGGGGCCTGTCGTGGGGTGGGGGGAGGGGGGAAGGATAGCATTAGGTGATATACCTAATGTAAATGATGAGTTAATGGGTGCAGCACACCAACATGGCACATGTACACAAATGTAACAAACCTGCACATTGTGCACATGTACCCTAGAACTTAATGTATAATAATAATAATAATAACAACAATAATAAAGTGGCTGAAAACTTAAAAAGTTGTTTTTGGGATAGATGGAAGACAGAAGTAGCCTATAACTCACTGGGCACTCCAATAAGGTGACTCTTCCTCATTTGGGGAAAGTTTATACTTTCTAAGACATTATTTAGCATATTCTCAGAAAAGTTTTGTACAAAGTTGTCAAGTCTAGGAAAGGCTGCCCAAGACGATACACTAGTTTTTTTTTTTGAGACAGACTCTCACTCTGTCACCCAGGCTGGAGTGCAGTGGCACGATCTCAGCTCACTGCAACTTCTGCCTCTTGGGTTCAAGCAATTCTCCTGCCTCTGCCTCCCGAGTAGCTGGGACTGCAGGTGTGTGCCACCATGCCCGGCTAATTTTTGTATTTTTTGTAGAGATGGGGTTTCACAAAGTTGGCCAGGCTGGTATCGAACTCCTGGCCTCAAATGATCTGCCCAACTTGGCCTCCCAAAGTGCTGGGATTACAGGAGTGAGCCACCATGTATGGCCCCAAGAAAATACACCAGTTTGAAAAGAAGATTTGATGTTTCACTGTCAGTGGACCAGAAACATCTACTAAAACATGAACCTTCAAATCTGGGGAATCCAAGTTTTCAGGGCTCTCCTCAAATCACTACAAATATGTTTGCTCAGCATTCATACATTTGGTATATTCGGGGTTGCTTAATAGTTTGGATAAAGAAACAGTGTCAGATAACCAAAGTTTAGAGTGTAAGAATGTATACACTAAAAAAGATTTTGAAAAACTGGAACTTAAAAATTAGAAAAATGATTAGAATTTGAATTCTACCACTTTTTAAATTCACAAGTACTATTAAAAAATTCAGAAATAAAATATTACAATAGGGATTATCAACACTGTAGTGGGAAAGGAAATAGTATTCAAAGGATAGTTTAGCATTCCATTGTGCAATGAACAATGACTCAAATACTGCAGTATTGATTCCATTTTGGGTTTCAGCAAAACCTCTTACCCGGAGCCCATGGAAGCGAGGATTACTGTAGAAAAGCTTCATCTGCTCAGATGGAAGTGGTCCTAGCACCTTCTGAATAGTAAAAAGTTGGTCAATTTCACTTTCTCCAGGAAATAAAGGTTGTCCATCACTAAGCTCTCCAAGAATACAGCCCACCGACCACATGTCTACGGACTTTCCATAGGGAGCGCTGAAAAATAAAGGAAGAGATTATTTTGGCAACTGAAAAAATACAATGTTTTGATAATTTCCAAATTATTGTGAACAAATTTATAATGTGCAGCACACTTGTATATTTATGAAATTAGAAAGTTCCATGTGAAAAGAAGACTGAAAAGTAAATCATCAGAACACAAGTGAATAAACCTATGCTAATAAAGCCACCAACTTAATAACAATTTAGTTAGTATACACTAATTTGAAATTTATTCACATAAATAGATATAAATATATATCTTAAATGTGAACGGCTTAATAAACCCTAATACAGTATACATATCTGGCAAGTAACACCTCATTTGGGGAATGAAATGCTTCCAAATAATTGTATTTTCTAAGACAAATAATTATCCTTTAGCTCTCTAAATGTCAAAAAGATATATCTTATCCATTTTATCAGTTCAGTCTATTAAAATTTACTATGTACTGACTTATGTGTTTCCTTAACACCGAATATTATTTAACCTTCCATTACTCAGCATCACAGTTTCTGATGACTAAGATTGTGCTAAGGTCTACTGTATTATTTATTTGAATATAATATATGTAGCCTATGTATACAGAGCTTTATGGTAGCTATTTCCCTCAAAACATTTTCCAGTTTACTTAGGGGTTTATAGCTTTCTTCTAGGGTGTGAGTTTACCAGAGGGCTTTAGGAGTGTTGCCGTTATTAATAAATGGAGGTTGTAGATGAAAATCCAGGTATCCTCAAAACAACTTTATATCTATCTCTCAGTATCTAGAGTGTTAAATTTATAGCAAATTAAGAAACCACACACACATACAAGCACGTGCACGCTCACACACATTTCCAACATAAATAGTCCAAGCTTTAAGAAGGGAAAGCCAAAAGAAAATATCTGAAAAAGAATATGGAATGGAATTTTGGAATGCTAAAATGATACAGTAGTGAAACAAAACTTTTAAATCAAAGGACTGTTAACATTATACAGAACAAATTTCTAGGATAACAAATCATTGCAATAATAAGTCAGTATTTCATGTATCTCATTTCCTTCCCATATCAACCTAAGAACCACACAAGGAAACTTCATTTAGATCTTTTTGGTAAGTTTGTTGGGCAGGGCAAGATACTGATCTTTCTTTCGTTATCTGTTTGAGAGAGAGAAAATTTGTTCCATAGTGCTAGATGGAGAAACTTATGGAAAATTTCCACATACTCACTACAAGCTATTTTTCTTCTGTCATTTGATTTGAATAATTTATGCAGCTGGAATGATACTGAATGTCAAGGACAAAGCCTTGAGAATGTATAAAATTTAAATTCTTAATGTATAACCAAGTATCTGATTTCAAAGGGATTTTTACAAATATGGTTCTTCAACTAGTACTTGACAATCACTTAATTAGCAATATTTATTTTAGCACTAATTTAGTTACATTGTCCCCATACTTTTAGCAGCTACTGCACATCTCTAAACATAACTCCAGTTTTTCTATAGGTATTATTAAGCAGCAAATACTCTCTGAAGATTCACAATAAGGCTTCCTCAAAATAAACTTTTTGGGGCCATGTTACAAACAACACCATATTATAACAAGCCCTTCTCCTACGCTTGAGTCCCCAGATGCGGTTCTAAGAATGATCTACTTCATACTCGTTTCTCCATCGGTAAAGTGTCCAGTAAATTCAATTCTCCCAAAAGAAAATGGACTATGCATCCCAATGAGTCCAAAAGGTACACGGAAGAAATATGGACAATCACAAAATCAATCCTGATTCTAAGATTAAAAATTAGCATTAAAAACTCTAAACTCTGCCCACACAATGGAAGAGATAATAAAGTGACTAAACATCTTTGTTTTTCAGGATAAAGCAAGCTTTTGATTAAAAAAAAAATAGTAAAGCTTTCAAAAACTAATGTCAATGATTCTTACAGGCTTTAGGTCAGCAATGAATCAAGAATTACTACTAGACGGTTGGTAGACACTGGAAAATAAGTAGTTAATATCAAAATAAACCCTGAGTAACTTAAACATGTAGTCATCATGCTCTTCAGAAAAAAAAAAATCCAGAAACTTATATTGCTATTATATAAAAAACATTTTTAAAAATTAAATTCTTCATGTCCCCCAGATACACGTATGGCACGCTAAAGAAATGAGACCTATAATTTGTGCACTTGTCATCATTATCACTATATCTAATTTTATTTGTGGAGTATAAATTATGTTTTTGGGTGGTCCCAAAGAAGGAAATACAATCTAGGGAAAATAATCCTACAACTAGGGTAGGTAGGGAATTATTAATGAGAACTACAGGCTCCTTCTTAGGCTTTAAAGTTAAAATGTACTAAAAAGAAAAGAACCTTATCAGAAGACCTTTTTCTGGTACTAACAGATGAATTAAAGAGCACTGAAAGTTAAAGGGTGGGCACAAAGTGGATGAATGTAGAAGATGTTAGTGAGAAAATCATCAATGCACTGCTAGTTTGAATAGCCATTTATCATCAAACGGGATTTACACTGTTCAGAACAAAAATGGCAATTGGTTCATTTTTTTGTTTTTTGGGTGTGTGTGTGTGTGTGTGTGTGTGTGTGATGGAGTCTTGTTCTGATGCCCAGGTTGGAGTGCAGCAGTGGGATATCAGCTCACTGCGACCTCCGCCTCCTGGACTTAAGTGATTCTCCTGCCTTAGCCTCTTGAGTAGATGGGACTACAGGCAGGTATCACCATGCCTGGCTAATTTTTGTATTTTTTTTTGTAGAGATGGGGTTTCACCATGTTGCCCAGGCTGGTCTTGAACTCCTGAGCTCAAGCCATCTGCTGGCTTTGGCCTCCCGAAGTGCTGGGATTATAGGCGTGAGCCACTGTGCTCAGTCTAGTTCAATATTTACTCCATGTGCCTGGCAAAGTGGTTGCATGTAAGAGATACTTGATAAGTATTTGATGAATTAATAAATGAACAAATAGATAAGCCAGAATGTCAAACTGTGTGGATATTCACATTCTTAATGTGGAAGTTTATCAGCAAAGATGGCTACAATTAATTTCTTCCATTTCCATACATATGCCATTTTATAATATGGCTCTGCCACTTGTCCCATCAAGAGGTGGAATTTATTTCTCCATACCATGGATCAGGGGTTGGTCATGTAACATGCTCTGGTCAATGAGGCAAAAGCCATACAAAAAAAGGCTTGAAAGCTACTGTTGCTTTGGGGCTTACCCTCTTACAGCAGAGAATTCTCCAACTATCACACTTAGAAACTTGGAATAGCCTACTGGAGGATAAGTTTCCAGGGATCAGAGATGGTCTGACCCAGCTGAGATCCCTAAACTAACCAGCTCCCAGATGACCTACCAGCTGACTAAAACTTCATGAGTGACTCCAAGACAGACGAGCAGAAGAACCACCCAGCTGAACTCGAACTGCTGATTCCCCTACGCCCAGAATTGTGAGCAAACAAAGTGCTTTGTTTCATACCATTAAGTTTTAGGTAGTTTGTTATACCGCAGTATGTAACTGACACATTTAATTAAGTGAAGTTCTTATTTTCCATAGATGAACTCAAAGCAAATGACAATAGAATCAGCAGATGTGGAAATGTCATTCTATTTTGGGATGGTAACTCACCCAAGTAAGAGCTCTGGGGACCGATACCATCTGGTGGCAACGTACTCTGTGTAATTAGCATTATTGCCTTCTGACAGATTACGAGCAAAACCTGAAAGATAGTAAAGTCCAAAGTTGTAACTTTGAAAAAGAAACAGTAATTCATGTTGGCAAAATATTTCAGCGCTAGTAATACTTTAAACAACATCAAAAGAATGTAATGACTGTTCTTACATGGGCTATTTATTAATAATATCCTTGCTATCTTAAAAAGTTAGTAGAGTGTTCCATGTCAATTGAAAGACATACAATGTATTCACTACAAACCCAGTCTCTTCATTATGCTAAAGAAAACCGTGTTTTCGAAGTCATCCCATGCTTTTATAATTATTCAGAGCATACTTTTAAATCAGTTCTCCCAATAAATGCAAACCTTAGGAAAAAAATGAAATAAAGTCCCCACAAAAGCTAGAAATCAATATCAAAGTCAAACTAACATACTGTAGACGGTCATTAATTTTGCTATGTGGCACTTACATAGTATTTGCATATGTATTGTTGCTGAGCAGTTCTAGCCCTTACATAAACAGTGATGGAAACAAAGCAGGCCAAAATTACTATCATCTCCTAATGACTGAGCATATTAGGGGTCTCTTAGTTACCAATTACAGATTCTACCACTACTTTTACCCCCACCCTTTGAAAAGGTTTTAGGGCTACTGCATAGCCACAAAATAAGGCAGGAGGATAAGTTAATCATCCATCTAACTCACCAAACACAATATAGGTTCACTGTGAATAGTTATAGAGAATCAGAACATTTAAATTAAGGGTAAAAATTAAGGTGTACGTCAGTTTTGAGACATGGAAAATAGTGTTTCTTAAAATGAAATGGCAAAAAATAAAAACAATCCCAGCATAAAACAAAACCCCTAACTTCAGATAATCAATGTTCCTTCATAAGACACGCTTTGAAGAAATATTTGTATTTTTGAATGGGGTTCTTCAAGTCAGACCAAGGAGTGCGTACTCTGGGAGCGGAAGCAATTAGGAAGTCCTTGCTAGGGATACACAGGACACAGAATACCGCATGTGGTGCTGCCAGGAGGAACTTCCTGACCATTTACAACAGTCTTTTCTCTGAGAAATAATGCCAGACCAGGAGTAATCTTTTCCTACTATTAACCATTCTATAGGCATTCTTTTATATTTATAACTTGCTTTATATTTTCAGTAACTTAAGTCTCCGCTTTGGGTGGTAATCACAATTATGGACAGGAAATCAGAAACAGATGCTGTTCCTGAAAATCGTAAAGCTAAGAAAATGCTAAAAATGCCACAATTAAAATCTTTCAGATCCAGTATTCAATATTTCCTTTTTCCTAAGCACATTCTTTATAAATTTAGGACATAGAAAGACTCTTTTACATACTATTCCTTATCATAAAGTATGACGAAAATTAAGTCCTGTAAAATATTTTTTCTCAGGCAAACAGGTTGATAATATTCAAAATCTTTGAAAATACTGAGTGACAACAGCTACACATGCTTCCAATTGCTACACTGGACAAAATGGGTCATTCTACGAAGCAAATTTTGACAATGCCTCTATTTCTTGCTTGTGTAATTCACCTCCTATGCACTAATCTAATCTACTTTTTCCTTATAAGGAGATGGATTCTTAGTTATATGTGGAGGTTTACATTGTATTTGTGATTATATTTAAATATGTGAAAAAAGACATTTAAAAAATCAAGTGTTTATTTTTCAGCACACAGGTCAGGCAAAATTATTATTTTAAAAAGTGACCCATGACCTAAACAACCCTAACATACAATCTAAATTTTTTTTCTGAATTATTTTAATTTAAATGTTTAACAGAGCTTAATACAGAGTTATCTACATGGGAGACATAGACAATTTTCTACTAGGAGAGAGTACAACTAAAAAAATTTCCCTATACATTCAATCAAAAGCTGGAATATTATACATTACTAATCCCATTCATTGAACATTTAGAGGGAACAAATGAAAATGTTCTAAAAATGTCTTTTGACTTTACAGATATATAACAATTGCATATACAAAATACTTATGTGTATTTATAGAAGAATATTTTAGTGTTTATGATTAAACTTGGAACAACTATCAATATTAAAAAAAAATTTTTGTGAAGTCATTAGATATTGGGTGTATGGGTGTATTTGCTTTGAATTCTGATTAAACAAAAACCATGATAAAATTTTAAAAATAGACAATACTCTGAAGAGAGCAGTACTCTTCTAGCAATCAATTTTTCAACATATGACTCAAAAGAATGTTCCTCTACCAATTTAAGTCAAAACATAACAATTACTTTTAATATTCCTTTAAAAGCTACCTACGTGTTACAATAAATTAATTCTGTAAGTACCAGGACTTAATTTCTTTTTAACTTACCAAAGTCACACAGTTTTAGGACATCATTGTGGCTGATTAAGAGATTTTCTGGTTTTATATCTGGAGTGTCAAGATAAAAAAAAATTAGTAAAAATGTTCTATGTTCTCCTGATTGACACTGTTATCTAGAGTAATTTCAATAGAAAACTGTGGCAGCAAAAAGAAACGTAACATATTTTATGCTAGTACATAAAAGTTTCAATGAATTTCTTTTTCAGAAACATGCAGACCACAACTTCAAAAACAATTTTTTCCTCTTTAAATATTAAAAGGATTAGTTGGATCTCTGAATTTTAAGAATAATTAAATCGAGGCCAACATATTTCAAAAAACTATTATTACTTCATAAAATACTAATAATACAAATTTTGGGAGATAGAAATATAAAATGCTTACACCCACGAAATACTTTAAAAATACATGAGAATAAGTAGCTAGCATTATATTTACTGGAAAAAAAATACAAGATATGCTTTCTGTTACATTCTTCTACATAATTTCTATATTTACATCTCTTTAGCTTTTCTGTATGGTTCACAATTATCAATGTCTAATGCTGAAGCCATACTGGATGAGTCAAATTAAGATTTCTAATTTTTTCCATGGATGTTATGAAGATGTGGTGGGAGTTAAGTAGAAATTCACAGAAAATGCAGTTGAATTCTCTCCTTGGGAGGCATCTCACAATTGTATTTTTAGAATAGAATACCCATCATCTTTATCATATGGTAAAGGTGCAAATGGAGAAAGGGCAGAGGTAGTGAAATCTGTAGATTTCAAATCATGGTTTCTACCATTAATTTGCAACCACTGATTCACTATGCACGTAACCAAATCACAGTATCATGATGGAAATGCACCTAACTCAGCTCCTTATTAATATCCCCAAACTACAGTATAGACTGTTACTAGAATCATTACCCCAGGCACTAGATGTCCAGTTGACGTGGAGATCTACCCATGCTACCAACAATCTTGATAAGGTAATTGCTATGAGAGTCAAATGCAAGAGAAATATAAACTGTTTCTAGGAATAACAGACGTTGGCATTCTTCATATGACCTTTAAACTATTCTTACAAGTGAGAATTTTTAAAAGTGATATCCTTGTGCATTTGTGTATAGGTAAATTAAAATGTAGCATTCTTTTATCTGCTAATCCAAAGACAAAACATAGATACTGCAATATTTTTTATAAATATTTAGGGTCACTGTTGTATCAATTTGCATCCCACTACTGTAAAACTCTCCAATGCAAGAGAGATTATCAGGAGAAGATAATGGGTGTAGAGTCAAATATGATGCTGAGCAAGTAATTTCCCTTTCATTGTTATAAACCACCCACTTCATGGCAGTAAAGGACAAAACAGTTTATGGGAGTATAATTATGACCTTTATGCGAGGTTGATCATGCCTGCAACTGCAGACAATGGGCACTTTTCACTAAGGGGTAGGGAAAATTAGGAGGTGAAGATACATACTGGAGATTGTTGGTATAAGAAGGAATGAGACATGAGTGCCAATAGGGGCCGGCGACTTAGGGACCACCTATATAAAGCCTGATTCAGAGTTGTTTCACATTACCTGGTCTACCTGCAGGACCAAGGCTATAGAGATCAACATTTTGCTCTTCTCCTATCCCCAAATAAGTTTCAAAGTTCACATTTGTTGAGTTCTCTTATATCACCAGGCATTTCTACAGTTTGGAGTGGATCTATAATAGTTATACAAACGTAAAGATTTCACTACAATATCCAAATAAATTTGTAATCCATCCTTTTGGTGACAGAAAAGGAGACTTGGAGAGCAAATGATTTCTCATGTTTTGCACTTTCAAAATATATTTAATTTAAAAGGCAATGCCAATGCTTATGAAAATATTCTTAAAGACATTAACATGTGAAATACTCTTAACTTTACTTGATGTTTTAATATTTTCCGTTTTAAAAATCTCATACTTACCTCGATGGACAATATCATTCTTATGGCACCAATGAATAGCCTTGATTAGCTGATAGATGTAGCTTTTTACTTTCTCAGGTGGAACTCCATTTGGCATTTCTTCCAGCAATTCCAGCATATTCTAAAAATTAAATAGTCATTAATTTCCCAAATTAGGTAGGCCTGTAAATTATGTATTAACAATTTTACAAAGCATCTAGAATAATTCATCCAATACAGAGCATTTTTTTTTATTGTTTTGCTTTCTATCTACAACTTTTTCATGCTGAATCAGCATTAAAATTGTGGCTTTCTTTTATGAGGAATTCTATTTTTACTGTTCCCTAATGCTACTCCAAATAATAACCCTGTATACTTTTCACTCTCCCTAAAGGTTTTCAGGCATTATTTTAGAATAATTAGAAGAGAAAAACAATACAAAGTAGATATATGACACTGTAATGTATAAAGGGGGGAAAGAGTCCTTTTTAACACAGTGTGCTGTATCTCTGCAACAGAACCTTGTGATAAAAATCAAGCCTTTAAAATACATCTGGAAGATCTGGGAAATATTCTTGGAAGAAAAAAAAGATCTCTAAAATTAAAAATGATCAATACATTTAGTACAAAAATTCAAACAGGCCAGAAAATACTATTGAAATAAACAGTCACAGACCCCATACAATTCAATATTCAAAAACCTTAATTTGGAGTCAGACACCATTATAAATAAAATTCATGCAAAATTTTTTATTATGTAGAAACTCCACTTAGCCAGTCTCTATTGAATTTCCAGATTAACCATTCTCCTTTCCCACTGTAAAGTACAAGTAAGGCCCATGGTACAATCATAGCTTATTGTTTGTAGGCAACCATCCAGGATAGCAGTTCTCAAACTGTGACATGTGGATCTGTGGGGTCTCAGACCTTGTGGAGGGCCCATGAAGTCAAAACTATATTCATAATAAGATTGTGATGTTTGCCTTTTTCACTGTGTTGGCATTTACACTAATGGTACAAAGCAACAATGGGTAAACTGCTGGCACCTCAGCATGAATAAAGGCATTGGATTCTTTAATCCAGTTAAACCTTGCGTTTAAAAAAGAAAACAGAAGTTTTAGTTAAGGGCATCCTTGATGAAGCAGTACAAAATATTACTTTGACTAAATTTCAATTCTTGACTACATGTCTTTTTTGGACTCTGCATGATAAAATGGCAGACTGCACATAAAGCCCTTCTGCTGCACATGCGCCATCTGTCCAATGCTTGTCCTGAGGGAAAGCACTTGGAGGATTGAGATGCAAGCTGAACGAGCTGCTTTTTATGTGGAACGCCATTTTTTACTTGAAAGAATAACTGACATACAAACTTATCTATGTTAACATGCAATATGCTTATTGTTATTTTAAAATGAACTAATATTTTTATATTGCTTGGTCATGACTAATATGAGAAACACTAATAGATAAAATACACATAAACAAAAAGTTCTTCGGGTTCCCAATAATTTTCAGAGTGTGAAGGGGTCATAAGACCAGTTAGAAAATCACTGCTCTAATTTGGCCTCACAGTTTTGTTCCCACCAGTCAAGTTGTATACCTATAAAGAATCAGTTGTATTTACTCCCATGCCTATTTATAACAGATACACTTGTTATTTTAATACAATTAAATACCATATAAACCAATGAAATAATGTTTCTTAAAAAAAGAGTTGCTGTTTATAAGAAAACAAAGTTGAATACTTTAGAAAGGCTTAATAATAAAGGAAAAGCCACTAAACTTATTGCCATCTAATCAAACGTGAGACAACTACAAAACACTGGCAAGGAATGGGTGCTAGTGGGGATAAGCATGTCCACTGAAGGATTCTGCACTGAGATTGCTTTGCAGATGTTTTTGTGCATTTGCTTTACCTTAAAGATGCATTATGAGTATGACGTATGTAAAAAAGACCAATCAGAACTTCAGAAGAGTGACAGGCAAAAGGACTTGACCCTACCTTTATAGCGTGTTAAATGAATACATACAGTATTTATGTTTCCAATTAAAATAAACATTTTAAGTATGTATGCATCATTTTTTGATTCTCCATTTGAATTCTCTTTTTCAATTAACAAATTCATAGATGGTCCCAAAAGGACAGGTGGAATAGGAAGGCTTTGTAATACGGAAAACAAATTGTATCTCTTGTTTCATATTCTATTCTAAATTCCTCAGTGGCAGAGATATTGTCTTCCAGTATCCAGTCTTCCCTTACTCCGCAGGAACACAATTTTCAAGTGGAGGCCTAGCTGCCCAGAACAAAGAGTACGTTTCTCTTCTGCCTTGCAGCTAATGTGGTCATGCAATGATGTCCTGGCCAATGGGATGTGACAGCTGGAACTCTATCCTGACCTTGAGGACAAGGTCACCTCAGTGTGGTGGAGCAGAGCTGCCACACTAGTCCTATACTGCCCTACCTTTGTATTTATATGTGAGGGCAAAAGAAACTTCTATTTTGTTTAAGCCTCTGTAATCCTGGGTCTCTGTTACTAGCCCCTTATCCCTTAGAGAACTTTCTCCTTGCTCTCCTGAGACTCACTGTCAATTATGACGTACTGCCACTAATGTGGCAGGTGTGACAGTCATGTTCTACCTAAGAACCACAGGGTCGGGGGAAGAATCTCAGGCCTGACTGTCAGAAGACTGGAGTTCTAGTAGCAGCTCAGCCATTTACCAGCAGGGAGATCTCAGACACACAAAACTGCCTCTCCCAGTGAGGAAACAGATACACAGAGGTGACTTCTCCATTTGTTGTATTAAATTATTATTAATAATGAACAACCACCATGAGTAGAACAGAAATAAAAAAGATAAACTAAAAGAGATGTCAAAATTTTCTTATTTGGTAGTGAAAACTACAAACTGCACGATTATTTATGACAATGAAAAAATAAAAAGCAGCCAGGCATGGTGGCGTGCACCGGTAGTCCTAGCGACTCAGGAGGCTGAGGTGAAAGATTTGCTTGAGCCCAGGAGTTTGAGGCTGCAGTGTGCTATAATCATACCTGTGAATAAACACCACACTCCAGCCTAGGCAATATAATGAGACCCCATCTCTAAAAATTTTTTAAAAAATAAAGAGCATCTGGTTTCCCCTGGAATCCTAATATAGCAATCCTTTTTTTTTTTTTTTTTTAAATAGAACTTTTTTTTAAAAACCAACTTTTAGTTTTATTTTGGTATGGAAGTTACCTTAGAGGAATGTATAAATTGACACAGAAAAAGAAACTTAAAACAGATTCTGGAAAAGGAACATAAAGCAGTGGTTTAAGACTACAAAGAACCTTCCAGTACCATTCCAGTTTCTCTAGTAACTAAATTATTACATGTACTTTTTTTTTATTATTTCAAAAAAACTATTTGTAAAGTCTGAATGCATTCAAAGCCACATTACTGGTCAGTTACCCTGGCAATACTGCTTTCCATTTGGTTATAACAATGTTGATACTCTGTCATTTATGGTATAGCAAGCACCTGGGTATAGACCTGCAGCAAACATAAACCTCTCCTGCTTCAACCTTCTTTGGACAACAGCATAGGAATTGGCAGGAGCCACCTATTTACTCATCAAGAAAACTTGCTTAAAGGTTTGCCTGGCTCTAGTTTCTTCTACTGTTGTTAAAGTGTTTATCTGTTTAAGTTTTTGACCATTTAACAACTGCTGTAGGTCAGCTGCTCTCCAAGAAATTTCTCTTCTTCTTTTTCTTTAGAGACAGGGTCTCACTATGTTGCTCAGGTTATTCTCAAACTCCTGAGGCTCAAGCGATCTGCCTGGCTCAGCCTCCCAAAGTGCTGGGATTACAGGTGTGAGCCACTGCACGAGGCCCCTCTCCAAGAAATTTCTAGGCACACATTATTGATTACTGTAACATACATTTGCCCTTAGGTCATGTTATTAAAATTGTCACCAACAAGTTGACCATTTTTTAATACATGCTAAGGCAAGTGTACAGACAGCTCAAACAATGCATGCTTTTCTTTCCTTTTCCAATGCTTGCAACTATTGACTTATGGTCTCATCTACCACCTCAAGCCTCACCTTAGGCCTCCTGGTACAGCTCCTTCCCTCAAATAAAGCCAAAGCACTGGCAGTTCACAAATGCTGCTTCCTGGGCCCACTCATTCCCCAGCCTAGGTCTAATTCAGTGTGGTATCTTATACAGCCTCTTCCAGCCTGTACCATCACTGTCAGCTTACCAGTTTCTCCCTCAGTTTAGGCTTAGTTAAGTCAAGTCTAAAAATTACTTGTTGAACATAGAGTTTAAGACTTCAGAAGCCAAATCAGTATATTGTTTAAACTTATGATTATCTCTATACAGTTTAATTGTACAAAACTCTTAAATATATTTCAGAATGTTTAGTGATTATGAACAACACTTTCATTTTTAAAGTCCTCAGATTATGAGTACATTGATAAGCCATATTAGATAACAGTATTTTCTTAAATAATGTCAGAAAAAAATTAAAAATAATTAAATAAAAGAATATTAAATAAAAGAACTAAATTAAATAAAAGAATAGGGCAAAACTGCACATTGGCAATTAATGACTTACTTTTTCAACATACTCAAACACCAAGTACAACTTCCCCCTCCGACGAAATGCTTCCTTCAGCTCCACAATGTTTTCCTGCTTGAGAGTCCGAAGCATTTTAAGCTCTCGTAAAGTCGTTTCTTTGACTTCTTCATTTTCTAGAATGTAAATAATGGTGAAGAGAGTAAAAGGAAAACTTTCAAGCTACTGTTCAAAGAATTCCAAGAACACTGAAAACACTCCAATTTCACTTTCCACACTTTGAGTACTTCTGCATAAGAAGTCCAAGAATGGAATATTAAATAATATGTTTTCTTGTTGAAAGGATCAAGAATAAGAAAATCGAAGAAAGGGTTTACTTGATCAGCACAAACTTGACTTCCTGTTTATATTTTCTTATACTCCTTTTACTATGCGTATGTATAAAAATTTTCTTATACTTCTTTTACTATGTGTATGTATAAAAACACATTTACAGATAACAATATAAGCATCCATTGTCATTTGAACTCTAACACTCTATACAAGGAAGGAAAGAGATTAAAAAGGCCATAAGGAATCAAAAGTATCAGTGTGCAGAGGAACCTCTATGCAGCCAGCATCTGTAGTAGCTGATGTTTTTAAGGATGGCATGAAGCTTTGGCCTAAAAGAGCATTTTATTCCTTAGGCTGCATGAGTCACCTCAGGGAGCAGAGGTCATGTGCCAAGCATCCACAATGCAAGTCACAGCCAAGTTGCAGGGAATTCTGAGAGTGTCTAATCTTCTCTCTGAACAGCAGCTGCTATAGGTTCCTGCTGTCCTCCCTGTAGCATGTCCATCTGTCCATCCCAGATGGTGTAGCTGTTCTGGGATGGAGAACTTATGCTGAACCAATAGACCCTCTTCCATACCATCAACTTCATTCATGATAACCTCCACGGTTATGGAGGAAGGACAGAAATCATATTAACTCTAATGGATTAATTGGCAGGGAAGTGATGAAAATAATATTTCTATTTAAATGAGTTTGTATTATACCTTTAGATTTACCCGGGAAATCTTAACTACCATGTTTTTGCATATATGTACCAGGATACAGGTTCATAATTCTTCATCTACAAGTCCAAAATCCAAAACACAGTCTAAAAACTGAAAGCTTTTTCGAAGTTTGGGGCAAATTCACTGAGGGCTAACACATGAAATGACATGAGACTATTTACAGTCTTTGTTAATCCAATCTAATATGAACATTCATATGTTGTGCTATAGAAATACTACTTGATTACTGGGTACTATGCATTATAACATGCCACACGTCCATTCTAAAATCCAAAAATTATGAAGTCTAAAACACATGCAGCCACAAGCTTTTGGGTAAGGGCCAGAATCCTAGCTTGAGAGCTGTGTGACCCTCAGGATCAGACATGTCTTTCAGTGTGAGAAGGAAGAAAATGGAGTGTGGAGATAGGGGCACAGAAGCCTAATAAATACACCCTCTAGAAGAAAGGCTCTCTAAGCAAGGCACGCAGGAGGAAAAAGGCTGAATGGATTCCAAAGGGAGAGGGAAGATTCTAAATGCAGAGCCAGGAGTGTTTCCTCAGATTATTTTCTATCCCAGCCCCCTTTCCCAACCCTCCACGCAAACTGAGTTTAAAGAAAAGGGAAGGGCTTTGTAGCACCCGAGTATCCATAACAAACTGGGAGCATAGAGTCAACACTCCCTTGTGAACTGGTTACATAAGTGAAGTATTCTACTTTAGCCAGAAAGCTGTTGGAGAACACTGGAACACAGATTAGGACCAAGAGACATACTGCCTATGAGAACACAAGAACCAGCAGTAGGAAAGGCCAACTGTGCATAAGCAGTCAATTACCTGGCTCACACCAAGATGGTCAATAGGGAACTGGGTACTTACAGGGAAAAGAGCATGACAGTGGATGCCACCTGGCAGTGGGGGAATGTCTGAGATGCAATTGGGGACATCCCAAAGTAACTTAGAGGATTGGGAGAGGACAAAGGTCCAGGTGTTCTGCAAATTGGGGCTGCGCCAGAGCAGTGGTGTTCTGTGACTGTTAGAATGCTAAGGTAGCTGCAGCTGCTGAAGCCCAGGAATACCAGCAGTTTCCTAAAGAAGCAAGATCAGGAACATGCTTCTCTGATATCCCCTCTGAGTTACTGAAGGTTGGGGTAATCAAACTAAAATCCATCTATCTCTAAGAAACAGAATAACACATAGATCTCAAATAAGAAACAAATGATCTAACGAGGGACTAATTTAACAAGATACAAGTCTACTGATTACTCATGACCTGGTCTGTGCCTGTCTTTCCATCCCCATCTCATGTCCCTCTCCCTCACCTCCATCTTTCAGTTCCCAAAATAGCCCCAAACTTCATTTTTCCACCTTAATGGCCTTCAGACTTGCTCCTTCTGCCGACAATGCTCAGTCTACTACATAGACTCTTGACAGGGCTTGCTCCTTCAGGTCTTAGTTTAAATGTCACTCCTCCAGAGCCTTTCCCAGACCATGAAAGCAAGTAGGCCCCCATCCCCATTATTCCTTATCACAGTTCTGGACTTTTCTTTCACAGAACTTCTCACCATTTTTCTTGATATATTTGTTTGCTTAGTGGTATACAATCTATGCAACCACCCCTGCTAAATCAAGAGCTCAAGGAGGACAGGACTCAATTCCTCTGTTCAACAATATACACTAGGACTGTACCTGACACAAGGAGAGGTGATCAATACATTCTTCCTATACGAATGCTTCACCTGTGGCCGTAAGGAAATCTCTGCTCATACATGCCTAACTCTTCCTCACTTCAGTCACAGCAACTGGAGGGCAAACAATAGGCACTTTGCCTCCCAGTTTTCTTACAGCACTGTCAATTTCCTCAAGCACCGCTTATCACGCAGTATGATAAACTGAATTTCTTTTCTCCCTATTCACCTCTGTCCCTAGGTGTCTTCTACAGTATGTGATTAGAAACAATGGAGGACACAGAACACTGACAGTGCTCAGGGTGAAGAACACACACATATACATGCACACAAATACCTAAATAGAAAGAAAATCATTAAGAGCATCCATAAGCTATGATGCTTGGTGAATTCTTGGTACTGGAAATGCAAATGAAAAAACATCGTACTATTATTTGTTACCAGCTTGTGGCAGTTTCACTTTGCTAATGGATAAACCCTCTTCAGAATGGCCGCATCAGAATGGTTTTAGTAGAAGGAACAGTGGACTAGGACTAGGGAGACCTAGATTCTGGACTCAGCCTTTTATTTTTATTTTATTTTATTATATTATTTTATTTTGGACTCAGCCTTTTAATCAACCAACAGTACACCATGCAACTTTAGGCAAGCCACTTAAGTTTTCATCAGTAAAAGAAACAAATAAATGCCTCTATCTCCCAAAAATCCTATTGCCTTTTTCAAATCTAATAATCTATTATTTCTTTTCATTAAAATTTTATTGATTATGAGCCTAAACCTCATGGAACTTTGCTGCTTTGTTATACATACATTATTCGAATCTGTATTGACTCCACTTAACAATGGTTAGAGAAGATAAATGAATCATCAAAAAGCAGCACACAAAATTACCTAGAATGTAGCGCCCAAACAACCTCATCTGAGCAGCTGTTTTTAGGAAATAAAGGCTTTTCTACTTTATGCCAGTCATAGTATTAAAAGTTGAGGTAAACACTTGAGCACTAAGATTGCAATGAATGGGAACAGGCAGGAAGTGGAGTTAATTCCCTAAATTCAAGCAAAATGGGCGCTCTTCATTATTACTGGGTACATCCTATAATTTTGCTTTTCTAAGTATTTTGAAGGTTCCTGGCCTGCCCTGCACTTTATGATGAAAATTGTCAACTAAATTATCAGATGACGAGGGGAAAAGGAAGGCACATTCGAATTATACAGGCTTCTCTTCTGGGAGGTACACAAAGTAGGAAAGCATTTTGCAAGGCATTACAAAATGCCTCACAAAAGCATTTAGTAAGGCATTTTCAAAGGATGGTAGCACAGCCCACTGAAATGAGCACAAAAATCACTGCCATGTAGTTGAAATAATCCCCATGGATTCTTTGTCTAGGCTAGGATTCTTTATCAAGGTTGGGCTCCAGTTTACAAATGAAGAAACCAAGTCTAGAAAGGATAACTTTCTCAGGGTGCATGAGCTGAAGGTCACATTCTACCTCATAGGAACAAAGGTGGCATAGTATACAATACAGTGAGTTTTGGAAAGTGAGTCACAGTACCCAGGTTGAGGTATAACTATGCTACCGTTTAGCTGAACGGCAAGGCAGCATTGTATGGGTGGAAGAAAAACTCAACGAAGATCCTGGGTCAGCATTTTAGTTGCAATTATTCACATACACGCCATGCAACTTTGGGCCTGAGGTCCATCATCTGTACACTGGGGCTGAGTTATACTGGATTATTCAGAAGGACTCTTCCCGAGTCCATACTTCTATGTGATAACTGCTTATGTGCATGCTGACCCACCTTGTCATCAGTTATCACTGAGGGGGTTTAGCTGAATGCAGGATCAACTCTGACAAAGTTATGTGCAGATATATAGAAACCCCACTGAGTGAGGACAAAATGGCAGGGTGGAAAAAGGATGTTAAGTAAAAACAACCCCAAAACTGTCCTACTTCTAAACTTACCAGTAAGGCAAGTTAACATACCTAAAAATCAGGAGCGATTTACTAAAGTAAAAGAGAACAATTCTTAAGAAGAAAGATCACAGGAGCAAAGGAGATTAAAAGATAACTGATGAAAAGAGAAAAACCTAAAGATGAGCAGAAACTCTATTGTAACTCTATTTTTAAAGAACTGTGGGCTTAGAAAGGAAATCCAGGAATAGCTGTAACCTACTTTGTGAAATCACAAACCTGACATTTTTGTATAGCCGAAGAGCCCCCCACCCCAAATGGACCTTTAAACAGATAAACTGATAAAGCAAAATCAACCCATCCTTGATCAAAACCACGAGGGTGCCATATTTGAGTCTGGTTGCTCTTATTGAAGAAGGGACATCAACAGACAGACATTGTGCCTGAGGGAGTTTGAATGCTAGTGCTACTGTTACATACACCAAGAAAGATGAGGACCCTCCAATCTTTAGAGATGAAGAACAGGTAAAAGCACAGTA